CACCTATTCAAATGCAATAGATTGTAAGCAAATATGTAAACATACCATATATTTGGTTTCCGTATATTATCGGTTTTCGAATCTATAATAGAAGGTTTCGGTCTCTCAAAAAGTAATCACCAGGTAGGTCGAATAATGCTCGTAAAGAGAAAGTAAAGATACATTTTTGTCTATATAAAGCAGTGGTCAGTAACATTTGGTAAAATGAATTTTCTGACATAGCCACTTTTCGCAATAGTTGCCGATCCCTAATATAGACATATATAGATTACAATATTTGTATTTTGAAAACGCTAATTTTTATGGAGAAAATACTTTAGTTTATCTAAAAATTCGGTTTTCGAAATAAGTAGATCTATGAGTAATAACAGTATTACTAACAAAAATATCTCAGAATTTTCCTTAAGGGAAAAAGTAAAATAAAAATACCAATTCGAAAATGAATAATTTAATTTCCATTTATAAATGACATACATGTGCCATCATTATATAAAGCAGTAGTCAGTAAAATTTGGTAAAATGAATTTTCTGACATAGCCACTTTTCGCAATAGTTGCCGATCCCTAATATAGACATATATAGATTACAATATTTGTATTTTGAAAACGCTAATTTTTATGGAGAAAATACTTTAGTTTATCTAAAAATTCGGTTTTCGAAATAAGTAGATCTATGAGTAATAACAGTATTACTAACGAAAATATCTCAGAATTTTCCTCAAGGGAAAAAGTAAAATAAAAAATATCAATAAGAAAATTAATAATTTAATTCGCATTTTTAAATGACATGCATGTGCCATAATTATGTGAATGTTAATTAAACATTATCGCGACACATAGATATAAAAGTTAATTTAGTTTTTTTCGATAATTTTTAATTTTTTGCCAAATTAAGTATACGCTAAAATATTAACTTTCTAGGTCATTCCTCTATACGCATGTTAATATTTGTATTACAATATTTATCAATTTTTTTATTTGAATAGGAACTCTAGTAAACACTAAATCAATATTTATTTAATAATTGAACGGATATCCGAAAAAAATACTATGTTTTATCGTAAAATGCAATATTTTATTTATGAATAAGGTTTGATAAAAATCTTATCCAGATATGTGTCATATAGTAAATATGGGTTTAAAGAAATGTTTGCTATAAGGAACATTCACCGAAGGAAATGCGCGTCAGGATGGGATAACCCGTGGAAATCCAATTGTTTGCATAAAAAATCGAGCAAGTGTTTTGCCTGAAGTCTTGTACACAATATCATTAAAAACTAATTATAGTTTCAGATTCTCTCATGTGCATCAAGCACACGCGAATTTAGAGTTTAGTCGAAGAAAAATCGCCATAAAACCGGTATGAAATACGCTTTAATCGCTTTTTAATTTTGCTAAATCGCCGACGTTACGTAATTAGCAGGTAGCTCCTGACGAGATTATAAGTTATAAATAAAAACATATCTATTTACAATGTAATTACAACAATTACTTAGTTGTTTTAATAGTTGCAATATGCGCAGTATTATGATATTACTAAATCGGAATTTATAATTTTTACAGTATTTAGATTTGAATAATATTTTGACGCAAAATTGTTTTTCATTAAATAAAAGAAATTCTTAACATTTTAAAGCAAATAATGAAAAGAAGAAAGCTGCAGGAGCGTACTTTACGAGCTCAAGGTTAACACTGTTTGGGGACCTCAGCAAAACAGTTTGGGCCCTCGACTAAAATTTGTTGAGGATCCTCATCTAACACTCTTTAAGGGCCCTTGGCTAATATTATTTTGGGCCCTCACACTTTTGAAAGCCGAGTCAATAATAATATTAATTATAAAATAATTAGAAGATTAAGAAACATTATGGAACTCACTTATTTAGTCTCTACACAAATATACATTTCAGAGTAAATTGATTATAATTCTAGGAAAAATATAAATAATCGAAAATCACTTTAAAACTATTGTATTGTAAATTTTTCATTTTTATTACTTTAATTTTCATGCAAAAACTTTTTAATTTTCTCCATCTAAAATTCATCATTCCAGGAACACACAGGACTATAAATAGTTTAATTACAATATATTTGATATTACAACATAAATAGTTTTTTTTAAGTATATAAAACCTTGTATCTTACTAATGAAAGTAATTTACAATAACAAACTAATTTATAATTGCATTTTCTGCATAGTAACATTGAAATTCCTGTGTCCTATTTGGTTTTTAATCAATACTGAAGCAATTAAATGTTGTTTGTATTTTTCAAATAGAAAACTTTACTAGAATTTACGAAGTTAGCACAGATTTAAAAAATGTGATTTCTGAAGACAAAAAACTATAAAATATAAAGCAAATTAAAAACAAAAAAATAATTTGTTGTTTTAAGATTCATATTTTTTTATTTCTTTGGTATGTTTTCTTTTTGTATTATAACTAAATAATAATTCAAATTTAATGCATAATTAAAAAAATATCTACAATAGGCTATTAATTATAATTAAATTTGATTGATTATATTTCAGTTATTATTTGATTATACTTTAATTAATTTATGAAGAATAGAAACCGTAATTTCATATAATTATTTCTTACAATTTCCGCATTTTCTAACCTTTACTTGTTTTCATTACCATTCAATCAATTTAATATAAAATATTTTATATTTTTATACATTAAATTATATAATTAATTTTTTGTCAATTTTACATTAAGATTGAAGAATTTATAGTTGACAACATTATTTAATATTTAATAGTTATTAATACACTAAATCGACAAAATTGCATAAATATGGAAGAAGATTTTTTTTAAATGTATGTTTCAAATGTTCAACGTTAATTTTGAAATTGTATAAAAATAATCGTGAAGAAAACTAAGGATCTTATTGTTTTGTTTATAAACTAATTTATAACATGAATTACGTAATTGGATCTTGAGATATCATAGGTAAATGGCAGATCGTTAATTAGTTTACAGCGATTTTCTTATATTGAAAGATTAATTACATTGAAGGATATAAATCATAGTTAGTTATTATGTAAATTTATATATGGAGCATACCATTTCGTGCCAAGATCAAATATCAAGTTCATTGATTGTCTTTGATACAGCGACGTTACAAGAGGTGTGTGGAGGAGGCACAGCAATGTTTTGTTTATTGAAACAGGGACGCAAATAAGATATTGATCCCAAGTGAAAGATTTTATTTGGCCATGCTTTGATATATACTTATTTCATTTTTTTTATAAAAAAGAAAGAGAACAATTAAATAATTCACACATTAATTAATTTAATGAATATCATATAAAAATAATTCAATACAGATTAATAGAAAAACCAAATGTTGATATATTTAATGGAAATATTAAGAGATATTTTCATAAAGTTTAAACTTGATTAAAAATACAAACAAATTATACTAATTAAATGTAAGTAGCAAATACGCATGAACTGAATATTTTACATATAATTACAGATACAATTATAATAAGCGCAGAGAATGCACTTTCGGTATTTCCATCTACGCGTTTTCCAACTTATGCAACTTACTACGGAAATATATGGAAATACCAGATCATAACCTACTTCATCGATCTAATATACTATAAGATGTCTGTGTAATTTTTTTCAAAAGTCATTAACCCCATATTATTAACATTAGGTGAAGTATGATTTTTCAAGCATTTTTTTTTCATTTATTGCATAAAACTAATGAAGAAACTTGCTGCAAAACATCAACATTTATTTTGTTATTTTTTGTGTAATTTTTTATGTATGTATTTTTTGTTATGTAACTTTTGCAATTATTTCCATTAATTAATTCCAATTTGACTATGTTTATAATTGTTTTCTCAGAACTATAAAACAAAGAAAATCTCGTGTCACCAACAAAATTCATTAAGAAAAATTTATAAAATATACTCCAAACTCAAGGAAAACGGCATAATCTTTAAGAAAGTAATGTTGACAGTTGAGGGTTGAAAGACCTATAATCAATAGCCCTTTGTAACCGTTGATCTTTTTTGTTTAATATCATTATTATGATTATAATCATCAAAAAATTAAGGATAATTCTATAAATTGAAAAAAAAATGGATAAATTCTATAAAGTAGAAAAATATTATTTGTTATTAATTTGTTTGTATTTTGAAAAGATCAATAAAAAATGCAAGGATTAGATCGGAAATGATTATCAATAAAAATACAAAATGATATAAAAAAATCAGGTCAATAAAACCACAAAAAGTGGCTCGCAATGAGAGCTAAAAACGAGTTTTGTGTATAAGTTTTCAACGGGATTTACGTATTATCTTTAAATTTATTTAAAAAAAAAATATTCACAAATCAATTTCATTAGTGGAATCATACTATTTCTTAATTCCGAATTTAGTTCAATGGCTTATTTTTTACAAATTACTTAAAGATCAAAATATGAATATGGATGAGATCATTAAAAAAAAGTGATTATTATTTTAGTTTTTTTTTTCTGGAAATCCATGATCCTCTCAAAATCAAGAATTAAATTATGTCTTTGCATTAAAAATTAAATGTTTTTAATGCAAATAAATAAAAAGTGATTTAATTTTGCTATAAGGTTAAATATAATAATTAATTTCAATAAAGACACAAGAAATTATTTTATTTTCTTCTTCGTTTTGTGATCAAATATGAAATTGTTTGTAATTGTATCCTTGTTTTAAGGACGTAATATAATGATTAATTAATATCAAATCATTGATCTGCATCAAATAAGAAATTAATTGAAATTTTATTATTGCATTAAAGACGTAATACAATAATTAATTACAGTAAATCGAAAAGGTATTGATCTGATGAAAATAAAGCAACGAAATAAAGAAGAAGGAGTACATTAATCACGATCACGATCTGTGGTCAGCTACTAACTAGCAAGGTCTGGTTTCCGAGTTTGACAATCGCGGAATTCCGGTGATTACCTTTTGCCCCCAACAAACCTGACGCATATATAAGGCATAGTCTGCTCTTGACACTTCAGTCTTTCGCGAATAGTCAAAAACAATGATTCGGTTTAGTGCTGTGTTCGTAGTCCTCTGCCTGGCATCCTCTGCCTTCGCTTGGGCCAAAGAGAATCGCTACCATTACCATCATTCCCACCAGGATGAACCAGAAGATACCTTAATCCTTTCTCACGTGGTAAATATTCACACACATATATTGTCAAGAAAAGCACCGTTAATCAACAATAATTTCAAGTCATTAAATAAATTGGAGTTTGAAACTTATTTTCAATATTTTTTTAATGAAAGTAGATAAGTTATGAATACGTTTTTAATTGAAATATTTTCTTTAATGTGCATATTTAAATAAAACTATTAAAGAAACCCTTAATAATTAATCATTTAATTAAATCCTTAATTATTAAAAAATAGCTGCAAAGAAATTGTTGATAATTATAAACTTATTTAAGTTTTCAATTAGTTTCTTTCTCTATGTTTGACCAATAAATATGTAATAAAAAACAAATCAATAAATAATATAAAATCAAAACAAAATTATTTTTTTCAAATTAATTATTGATTTTTTTTATAATTATTGACAATTAATGAATTAATTAATTTGTATACAAAACAAATATAATTTTTCATATTTAAGTTAATAATAAATATTTGTAATTTCTAAATAAACAACAAAATAATTATATTTTTATTAAGCCCTATGGTCTAAATTAGGGCCAATAAAAATGTGTAAATTTAATTTTACAAAATCAGCAGTATTTATATTCCAAAATATTATTAATTACAAGTAAAGAATCAACAAAAATATGGATAATGTTATATTACAATGATATTTTGACATTGAACAAATTACAATTTTCTGCTCTACTTACGACAATTGCGAACATAATTTAAAATTTTGTACGGTTTTGCTTATTAGTAATGAATTTCAATATTTTGTTAAAATATTTCAAAATCAGATATAATAATAAATATTAGTTAATATCAACAGATTTCTGAAAACTTTCGACTAAAATAAAATAAAACATGTAATTATGGATTAAATTATAATAATTATCATTTAGAAATTGTGTAATTTATACAAAACGTGAATCAATGTTAAAGATAAAAAAAAATATTTTTTGCAAACTTATGTACCTTGAACCGGTTTAATAAAGTCAGATAAATAAGAATTAACGAAAACGTTGCAAGGTTTCAATGATTATTTACAAAAAGTTACATGTTAATATTCATGAAATTCCCTGGAGGTTGAATATAATTGATAAAATACTTACATTTACGTGTAATAACTATTTATAGATTTGAGTAAAAATGAACTTATAAGTTGATAATTAATTATGAATGAAATGCGAAGAATTTCTGCGTTTTTACTTAAATAAACTTAGGAAAATGTAAAAACCCTAGCTTGTTTAAATTAGAATTAGCACATTCCAGTAAAGTGATAATATAAATTTAGGAAATTCTGTAATTTTATTAAGTGTTCTACTTTAAGATTTATTTTCATTCAGAAATATTACTATATAAATGTACGAAATCTACAATTAGTGGTAAGCCACAAATCTTTATCTTTGTGGTAAATTAGGATAAAAATTTACGCTTTTAAGAAGTACGATAAAATAACTTAATCTGTGCGGTTTTGTTAATTGTTTTTATGAATTATAATAAAAACTATAAACTAATTATACACTTACAAATTAGCAAAATTATTTTAAAATTAATTAATTCATTTGTAATTACGTTTATATTAAAAAGAAGTAATTTTAATAACTTATTTTGCAATTACCAAATTGATAAATAATATAGTTCGAAACAGGTTCTTTTTTTTGCGGATTTTATCTTAAGGTTAATTAACTACCATATCTTCCTGCCTTTAAACGAAATCACTTTCACTCCGAGCAATAAAATCAAGGTCTATGTCACATAAGTAATTATATCGGAAGTTGTTGAAACCGGAAATATACATTAATCATTTATATTATATTACAAATCAATATGATCTCTTTCCCATATTCGTTGACAAGGAAACTGTTGTAAGGTCACAATTTGGAAGATACTTTTATTTTCACTTTTTTATTTGTTATGTTGCAAAAAAACTCGGCGAGAAGTGTTGAAATGCGCTAAGGTCAAATAAATCGTTAGAATGGATTTTGCTACTGTTATTATTTTTTTGTTTTGTTTGTATTATTACGTTTTTCTCGGGTAATTATTACAAGTGTATTAATATTAGCCTGAGGATTAAATTGGCTAATTGTTTGCTTTTCAATTGAAACCGGTTGAGGCGCAGCTGTAATAATTAGCGCTAATTAGATGTTACTTTGTAGCTCTTCCGTCACGGTGATAGGACGCCAGATGTCAGCACTATCTATCCAACCGATCCCTATATGAACGAAACCTTTTTCCCTTACGGTAAAGGACAACTCACTTTGGTAAGCATTTATATTAGGGTTTTTATGTTTTTTTTTTTATGTATTAATAATTTGTTTATTGATATGTTAATAGCAAGGAAAACAAAGGGCTTTTGCTTTGGGAAAGAGCTTGAGGCAACGTTACAATGAATTCTTGGGAAACCTTTACACTCCGGACATCATCGAAGCCAGGTCGTCGGCTTATCCCAGGACCCAAATGACCCTGCAATTGGCATTGACCGGTCTGTTCCCTCCCACCAAAGAATACAGGATCGCCGGCGGTCTGAACTGGCAACCTATCCCATACCTCTACACAGATTACGAGCAAGACAAGTTGGTGGCAACCTTCAGGAGCTGTGAAAGAATCTTCGATATCGTCGATGATATGGAAAAAACTTTATACAGAAACGATTTGACCCAATACAACGATCTCTTCGCCTACCTCAGCGAACATTCCGGATGGCAAGTGAACAACACCAGATTCACATTCTTCATCCAAAACACTTTGAAAGTCGAGTCTGAATGGGGATTCGAACTTCCCGAGTGGACCAAGAAAATCTGGAACACACCTGAATTCACCAGCGCTTCCGAGTTGTTCTGGAAGTACATGTCTGGTACCAAGGAATTGAACAGAATCAACATTGGTAACTTGCTCCAAAAGATTGTCACGGACACCCAAAACAAAATCGACGGAAAGAACTCTCGTAAGATCTATTTGTACTCTGGTCATGACTTCACCGTTGTACCAATGCTCGCTGCTTTCGGTAATTTCGATGGTAAAATGGCTCCTTACACATCACACGTCATCATCGAACTCCACAAAATCAACGGTATCTACGGAATTAAGGTAAATCAATAATTCTGCATTCTTCAACGATCAATTATTTATTTTGTTTATTTGCAGTTGTTCTTCCAAAATTACGAGCAGAGGTTACCAAAGCAGCTGACCATCCCCGGATGCGACAGCTTCTGTCCTTTCGACGAATTCGTGAAGATCGCTGAAGATTATTATCCAGGAGAAAAGTGGTGCTAAACTCTAGTCAATTTATTTATGAAAAAAAAAACATTAAATTTATAACGGTATTTAAATTAATAAAGCATATTTATTTGAAAGAACAAGTTTATTTACTTACCTATTATATTTGATGCAACTGAGATAAGATAAGTATAGAGTTTAAAAATATATTACAAAATAAATGAGCATATCGCAGACATTTTATTAAATGTTTGTAGTGCATTTCTTGCGTCTATACGAGATGATGAATTTACTTCAAGCTATATTTTTCATTAGTCTTATGCCTTTACATTACTGCCAAAAAGCTGAAGATACTTTGATATTAGCCCATGTGGTAGGTTTTATTAATGTAATTATTGTTTCAATGTTTATACTTATATGTAGATGACAAGACATGGACATAGGACTACGGATATGGATTTTATGTTTCCAACTTATACATTTAACGAATCATCATTTTATCCCTATGGACCTGGAGAATTAACTTTGGTAATTGATAAATTTTAATTGAAAAAAATATTAACTAAGATACTTAGAAAGGTAAAAAGGAAATGGTAAAAGTTGGAAAGGCTTTAAGGGAAAGGTACTGCGATTTTCTGGGCGCTTGTTATCAGGATGGATTAGTAGAAGCTGTTTCTTCAGAATATAAAAGGACAATGATGAGTATACAGTCAGTCCTAGCTGGACTATTTATACCATCCAATGATTGTGAACTAAAAGGAAACTTGAGTTGGCAACCAGTGCCATTTAAATATATTCCAAAATTTAAGGACAAAGTAAACCTAACACAAAAACATCTATATTTCAAGTAATTGTCCTTGAAGTTTACAGCTGTGCATAAAAGTTGTCCAAAGGTATTAGAGGTTCAAGCGAAGATGGACGATGATGAAAAGGATTTATATAAATATATATCAAAACATACAGGGTTAAATGTAACTACCTCATTTCATACATTTTTCTTATATTGGAGTTTAGAAAATTTGGTAAATCATAAAGAAATTAATTGTAATGAACTTTTTTTTATTATTCTTAATAATAGAACGACCTAGGTTTTGAAGTACCTAAATGGAGTATCCCCATATGGAAACAGCTTCAAGAGAAACATAGTACACAATTCTACATTGATCTTATTGAACAAAATTTGAAGATGTTGACAGGTTATTTATAATAATAATTTCTTACATCATATACCTAACGATATTTATGTTAGGTTCGCTCATGGTTAAAATCCACGAAGACTCTCAAAAGAAAATTAAAAATATGTTTAAACCTAAAATGGTTATATATTCCGGCCATGATATTAATATTGTTGGACTCTTGGGTGCATGCGGAATATTTAAACGAGATGTAGTAAATTTTGGAAGTTACGTGATAATAGAACTTCATAAAATAGAAGCTAATTATTATGTAAAAGTAAAATTACTTATATTTTTAATATTATTTTATATTGCATTAATTAAATATATTATAGGTAATCTACGAGAATTATAAATTCAATAAACCTGAAGTCATGGTATTGCCCAAATGTTCGGAATTTTGTGAATTCGAAAAATTTGTTGCAATTACCAAGAAGGTATACCCAAACGAGAATTGGTGTTCATAAATGAATAATTAGAATATAAAAATTATAGAGAAAAAAAAACTAATTGAATTGCATTCTTACCTTACTTAATGAATAATTCTTCGAAATTACTACGTTAAGAAAACTTTGTTTTCATTAATATTAACATCTGGAAATCTACATTTCTATTTTCTAAAATTTCATTTAATTCATCTAGTACCACTTTTGACTACATTTGCGCCTCTATTTATTTTTTATGAATTGGATTCTTAATGGTGTAGTATGGTGTATATTTTAACTGTCATTTCCGCCTTATCAATTAAGCTCCGGAAATGTACTCTAATGCAATTACTTCAATAGTTTTAAAGTTGAATTGATCATCAATTGGAAATGTAGATTTCTTTATATCGGAATTTTTATGTAACATGTAACGTTAACTGAGGTATAACTGTATTTTTGTTGTTTAATGTTTAAATAAATTGCCTAATACCGAATTTTTTGACAATTATACAGATTAGAGTATATGCATTTCGTTCATTATATATAACAATTTATGTAATTAAGGTATTAAATACACTCATTAAATAAAATAATAAGGTTTTCTTTCTTTATCATTTTATAGATGAACCAATAACGCTTGTAGAAGGTGAGAGACATGGGAAAGTGCTGCTAGAGCCAGACTAATGGAAAATTGACAGGAAAATAGCACAGCTCAACGAATTGATCCTGGACTTGACGCATAATTCCAGAAATAGAGCTTTGGATAATTAGAAAACATGGAAAAATAAATTTCCATCTGAGCCAAGCTTTTTCTGGTCATGTGTGCTTTGTTTCACTGCGAAGAAGAACTGCAGATGGGCAAAAATGAAACAGATCTAAGGAGATTGTTAGAAAAAGAAAATTTCATTGATTCAATGTCGATGAGCTAGAATATCATATCAATATATGTGTCAAGGGTTATTTCCACCAAGAAAAAAGATGGGCAAATGAGCTAATAAATAAATTGTTAGTGAAGATCGCAAAGACGATCAACGTTACAGAAAAATATCACAGTACCAATCCTAGATGTTGATGATGAAGGAGTGACGTATATTCTATGTGCGACAAAAATGTAATGCTAATTTATATTACAGTACACTTATACAAAGTATAATTGCTTATAATATTTTCGCGATGTTAATCTACATAAGTTAATTACTGCAGTTTAATTGCATCTATAGTAAATTTAAAGTAATTGAGATAAGATTAGTTTTAATTTAATAATAAGTAATTTTAAATCTTTCCTAAATGAAGCGTACCTTAGTGGTACAAATTATATTATTATAATTTCTTCGTGCATTGTGGTTCGTTCAAGATGTTTAAATTATTACTAACGATTTCTTTCATATGTTTATTACCGTTATTTTATTGCGAAAAGGCAGAAGATACTTTGATATTAGCTCATGTGGTAAATTGGTTTTTATTCTTTGGTAATTTTTAAATTATTTTTTTTAGTTGGCAAGACATGGAAATAGGACCGCTGAAGTAGATTTTATGTTTCCTACTTATCCTCTGCAACAAACATCGTATTATCCCTATGGACCTGGCGAATTAACATTGGTAATTGATAAAATTTACTTGAAAAGTATTATTAACTATTTTTATTTAGGATGGTAAAAAGTTGATGGCTGGAGTTGGTAAAGCTTTGAGGGAGAGGTACGGACATTTTCTGGGCGATTGTTATTCACATGGTTTAATAGAAGCCATTTCTTCTGGTTATAAAAGAACAATGATGAGCTTACAAGTAATCTTAGCTGGGCTGTTCATACCATCAAATTCTTGTGTATTGAAAGGAAATTTAAATTGGCAACCCGTGCCTTTTTCCTATTTACCATTTTACAAAGATAAAGTAAACTTATTAAATAACAATTTACATTTAAAATAAAGATTCTTTGTAGTTTTTCGCAATGCAGAAAATATGTCCAAATATATTAGCTGTACAAACGAAACCAAATAAGGATCAATTAGAATTATATAAATATTTATCAGAGCATTCAGGATTAAATATAACTAATTCTTATGGAACATTTGCAGTAGTCGGGAGCATACAAAACTTGGTAAAAAAAATATGTTTGTTATAACCCATTAAATATACGTAATATCAGTTGGATCTAGGTTTTGAAGCACCTGAATGGAGCGTCTCGGTGTGGCCACAATTACTAAGAGATCAGGAGGGTATACAATTTTTGCAAGATTTGGTTGATCAAAAATTGAAGATGTTGTCAGGTTGCTTATAACTATTTCTTACATCGTATAATTGAAACAATCATTTTAGGTTCGCTGATCCTTAAAATACACGAAGATTCACATAAAAAAATCAACGGTACTTTTCAGCCTAAAATGGTTTTATATTCAGGACATGATATTAATATGGCTGGACTATTGGGTGTATGCGAAATATTTAAACGAGAATACATTAGTTATGGAAGTTACATAATTATAGAATTACATAAAATCGAAGCTAAATATTACGTAAAAGTAAAATTAAAATAAATAGTATTAAAGTATTTAGACTAATAAATTTAATTGTAGGTTTTATACGAGAATTACAAATTCGATAAACCTGAAGTTATGGTATTGCCCAATTGTTCAGAATATTGCGAGTTCGAAAAATTTGTTGAAATTACGAAGAAATTTTATCCAAACGAGATTTGGTGTTCATAAATGTATTTTTTTTTTTCGTATTAATTAAATTGTAGATATAAGTAAACAAATATTTTGAAAAAGAGAAACAAGTTTTATTTATTTTACATCATCTATTTATATAATTATAATGTTGTTTTTAATAGTGTAGATTTACGAAAAAGTTACAAATATCATTTCTTCCTTATCAAATAAATTGCTTAATGTTTGGCGTAGATATTAATTATTGGTCTCGAAAAACGGATTTTTTTAATTATTTCTTAAGTATAATCATTTTGATTTATATAATTTAATTGACTGGAAAATTCAGGATTTCAGACACAGAAATTAAGCCTAAAAAGCAGAGCAATAAAGGCCTCTATAGCTAAAATCAAATCTATGGTACAGAAAAGTGGCTCAAAATCAAGCAAGAAAAGATTGTTTGGAGTAATAGTATAACAGCACAAAGCATAGGAAGCTATATATTAGACCACCTATAGACCAGCAATTGAAACCATCCAATTAGAGCACTTTTATAAAAGCACCAACGTAATTTGAAGATGCAAAGTATATTTACATTTAACGTTTTGTTAATGCCATGTACATAACTCAATTGCTGTATTTTAATTGCATCCAAATTAAAATTGAAGTAATTAAGATAAGATAACTTAGAGTTAAATAATATGTTATTTTGACTATTAATTAAATAAACCGAAATGTCGTGGTAAAAATTCAATTATTTTAATTACATGAAGTATTGTGGTTGGTTCAAGATGGTTAAACTAATTATAACGATTTCTCTCATGTCTATGGTATCTTTATTTTTGTGCGAGCAAGTAGAAGATACTTTAATACTTTCTCATGTGGTAAGTTGGTTTTTAATATTTGTTCAAATTTTTAAACCAATTATATTTAGATGGCAAGGCATGGCCATCGGACTGCGGAGATGGATTTTGTATTTCCAACTTATCCTCTCCAACAAACATCGTTTTATCCCTATGGACCTGGAGAATTAACATTGGTAACTGATAAAATTTACTTGAAAAGTACAATTAACTGTTTATATTTAGGAGGGTAAAAAAATAATGGCCGGAGTTGGCAGGGCTTTAAGGGAGAGGTATAGAAATTTTTTGGGCGATTGTTATTCACATGGTTTAATAGAAGCCATTTCTTCTGGCTATAAAAGAACAATGATGAGCTTACAATTAATCCTAGCTGGGCTGTTTATACCATCAAACTCTTGTGTATTAAAAGGAAACTTAAACTGGCAACCCGTACCGTTTTCGTATTTACCATTCAAGACAGATAAAGTAACATTATTTCATAATTGTCTATATTTTAAGTAATTTTCTTTAAAGATTATAGCGGCGCACAGAACGTGTCCAAATATATTTGCTGTACAAACCACATTTAACAAGGACACATTGGAATTAAATAAATATTTAACAGAGCATGCAGGATTCAATATCACTAATTCCTTTGACATATATACAATATTTTGGAGCATACAAAATTTGGTAAATAAATACTTAATAAATCATGTGTTATGAAACGCTTTAAATATACTTAATAATAGTTGGACCTAGGTTTTGAAGCTCCTGAATGGAGCGTCTCGGTGTGGCCGCAACTAATAAGAGATGAAGAGAATATACAATTTTTCGACGATTTGGTTGATCAAAAACTGAAGATGTTATCAGGTTGCTTATATCAATGTCTCATATTGTATACTTAAACCAATTATTTTAGGTTCCCTGATGGTTAAAATCCACGAAGACTCCCAAAAGAAAATAAACGGTACTTTTGAACCTAAAATGGTTGTTTACTCAGGACATGAAATTAATATTGCTGGACTCATGGGTGCATGCGAGATATTCAACCGAGAATTCATTAATTATGGAAGTTACATAATTATAGAATTACATAAAATCGAAGCTAAATATTACGTAAAAGTAAAGTTCTAATAATTAACATTAAAGTATTTACAATAATTAAATCAATTTTAGGTTTTATACGAGAATTACAAATTCAATAAACCTGAAGTTAAGAAACTGCCCGGATGTTCAGAATTCTGCGAATTCGAAAAATTTGTTGAAATTACTAAGAAATGTTATCCAAACGAGATTTGGTGTTCATAAATGTAAAAACAAAACTTTTTATTCTGTTACTAAATGAGATATAAATAAACAAATTATTATAAAAATATAAAAAAAATATTTTAATATATTTTACATCATATATCTACATAATCTGTGTAATAATTACAATTATGTATGTAATGGTGCAGATTTTCCAAAAAAAAATATTGTTTCCACTTTTTGGGGGCCATCGTTCAGCCAAGTCGATGGACAATGACAGTTATGACAGGGAAAATGACACAGTTTATAAAAGGATGCCAAATTTCAGAAATAGAACCGTGGATAATTATAAAACAGCATGAACCAACCTTACTCCTAAGCCAGGCTCTATCTGGTAAGTATCTTACCCCTTGGCTAAAACCAGAAACTTTTGTTGGTACAATTTTGAAGAGCCCAGAGAGTTGGAAGAGAGCCCACTAAAAGAATGTTAGTGGAGATAATCACTGATACATATCGAAGAACAAAGTAATAAGCTAGTCCAATGACAATTAGCATTTCAGAGAAATACCAGATAATTAATGTTGATAAAGAAGAGGCAAGGTTTTAGTGGATGCTAATTCCACAGTTTCACAACTCCACCTGTTTACTACAAAAATGTTATGTTAATTTATTATATAAAGCACCAATGGAATTTAAATATGTAAAGCAAATATACTTATAACGTTTTGTTAACCCCATGTACATAATTCCGTTGCTCCATTTTAATAGCATCCAAATTAAAAATGAACTAATTGAGATAAGATAATTTAGAGCTTAAAAATGTGTTATTTTGAATATTATTTAAATAAAGCGAAACGTTCCAGTAAAAATTCAATTATATTCAAGTATTGTGGTAGGTTCAAGATGGTTAAATTATTTATAGCAATTTCTTTCATATCACTAATATCGTTATTTTTGTGCGAACAAGTAGAAGATTCTTTGATACTTGCTCATGTGGTAAGTTGGTTTTTAATATTTTTTAATTTTTAAACCAATTATTTTTAGTTGGCACGGCATGGACATAGGACTACTGATATGGATTTCGTTTTTCCTACTTATCCTCTCCAACAAACATCGTTTTATCCCTATGGACCTGGAGAAATAACATTGGTAATTGATAAAATTTACTTGAAAAGTATTACTACCTATTTTTATTTAGGAGGGTAAAAAGTTAATGGCTGGAGTTGGCAAGGCCTTAAGGGAGAGGTATAGAGTTTTTTTGGGCGATTGTTATTCACATGGTTTAATAGAAGCCATTTCATCTGATTATAAGAGAACAATGATGAGCTTACAAGTAATCTTAGCTGGGCTGTTCATACCATCAAATTCTTGTGTGTTGAAAGGAAATTTAAATTGGCAACCCGTGCCTTTTTCGTATTTACCATATAATACAGATAAAGTAAAATTATTTCAGAAATGAAGATATTTTAAATAATTTTGTTAAAGATTTTAGCGGCATATAGAACGTGTCTTAATATATTTGCTGTACAAACCAATATAAACAAAGACAAATTGGAATTATATAAATATGTATCACAGCATTCAGGATTAAATGTAACTAGTTCTTTTGACATATTTACAATTTTCTGGAGCATACAAAATTTGGTAAATGAACAATAAATAAATGATGTATAATGAAACGCTTTAAATATACCTAATAACAGTTGGACCTAGGTTTTGATGCACCTGAATGGAGCATCTCGGTGTGGCCACAACTAATAAGAGATGAAGAGAATATAAATTTTTTCGACGATTTGGTTGATCAAAAAGTGAAGATGTTATCAGGTTGCTTATTACAACTTTTTAATCGTTTAGTTAAACTATTTATTTTAGGTTCGCTGTTGGTTAAAATCCACGAAGACTCTCGAAAGAAAATAAACGGTAATTTTGAATCTAAAATGGTTATTTACTCAGGACATGATGTTAATATTATTGGACTCATGGGTGCATGCGGGATATACAAACGACAATATATTAATTATGGAAGTTACCTAATTATAGAATTACATAAAATCGGAGCTAAATATTACGTAAAAGTAAAATTCAAATAATTATCATTAAAGTATCTATAATAACTAAATCAATTTTAGGTCTTATACGAGAATTACGAATTCAATAAACCAGAAGTTAGGAAACTACCCGGATGTTCAGAATTCTGTGAATTTGAAAAATTTGTTGAAATTACTGAGAAATTTTATCCAAACGAGAATTGGTGTTCTTAAATGTAAAAAAAAAACATTTTTTTCTGTTAATTAAATATTAGATTAGAGAAAAATGTGTTATTTGTTTTACATCATTATCTACATAGTATGCGTAAAAAGATTTAATTTAATTAATACGTACAATAAAGATAATAGTAAAAATGTATGGAGTATTATTTGGTTCTGGAGACTTTTCATTTTTAAGATGAAGCCGACTCTTATAATATTAGTTTTATCACTATGCAATTTATCATCATGCCAGAAGTCGGAAAAATCATTGGTTTTGACACATGTGGTGAGTAAATTTCAATAATTATATAATTGGAAAAACCCAAAGGGCTGGTCGAAAAAAGCTCAATATGTTTTAAGTAAATTACATAATTACAAATAAATTTTGTATAAAAAATAATTTGTTGATTTAGTTAGTGAGACATGGACATAGAACTGCGGATTTGCAACATTCCTTTCCAACTAATCCGCTTAAAGTACATTCGTTTTACCCATATGGACCTGGAGAATTAAACTTGGTAAATATGTAAATTAAATCAGATAAGTCCTTGAACTCCTTGACCCAGATATCTATTCTTGCATTGTTATGATCATAATTTATCCAGTGTAAGTTAATGATATTGTCTGTATCCATAACCCTTGTCGCCCTTCCAGTTTCCTTCTACTTACCGGACCTACAATCCTCATCCTCGTCATTGGTAAATTCTTTTAATCATTGAAGATGAACATTGTTTCCATCCATGACAATTCATCTCCTTCTACCAGATCGGTTTTCCGCCTTGAAAAGTCGCCTATATTCACCCTCACTATCAAAACTTCTAACTTTCAGACCTCTCACAACGAGAGTGGACCTCGATTCTTTACAAATTTCCTCCTTACCTAATTAATATAATTAAAAAAAACTCATTGAAATGTGTTTCCTTAAATTGAAGATCAACAATTGCTTCTTTCTTTCCGTATATTCTCTTTATACTCACTTCTGTCTGTCCTACTATATAAACTTTTTTGTTGTGATATCTATAACTCTGATTCCAGCACATTCGATGTCAATCTATATACACTTTAACATGATAGTGATAGCACATTTATTTCCCATGCCTCCTCCCTTCAATCTTCCATACATAACCTGCAAAACTTCCCATCCTCGACAATATCCTGGTTTCACAAATGATGCCTCAATATGAATACTTTCAAATAAAAAAATCTTATTCCCTATCATCATATCTCTCTCTCTCTCTCGCTCGCTCTTCCCACAATGTTACCTTTCGATACATTCCCATATCGCAACCGCCCACACTTATCTTGGAATTATCCTTCATTCCAATTTAAATTTTCCCATTCCAAAATTCTTAAGTACTTAATAAATTGATGTTTCTCTTGGTCTTTGCTTATTCTGACCAATGTTTTATAATTATTATTATTATTATAAAATAAATTATAAATGTATCTAACAATTTATTTGAATTTTCTAATTAGGAAGGAAAGATCAACATGTCTGGAGTTGGAAAAGCTTTAAAGAAAAGGTATGGTGATTTCCTGGGTGATGTTTATTATGATGGTTTATTAGAAGCAATCTCGTCGGAATACAAGAGAGCAATGATGAGCTTGCAAGCAGTGTTAGCAAGTTTATTCAAACCATCAAAATCACATTTAAAAGGTGATTTGAACTGGCAACCTGTTCCATTCAATTATATACCATTCGCAAAAGATAATGTATAATTTCAGAAAGTTTAATGAAGAATTATTCAATAATTAGAGTATTCTTTTTAAGCTTTTAGCGACGTACATAACTTGCCCAGATATATTTAATCTTCAGACAGATTTAGACGAAGATACCCAAAAACTCTACACATATCTTTCAAAATACAGTGGATTAAATATTACAAACTCGCAAGAACTATTTACAGTATATCACAATCTTAGAAGCTTGGTAAAGAAAACTATTAATTTAATTAAAATTATTTAGTTCTAATTTATTTATAGTATGAGCTAAACTTAGAAGTTCCCGATTGGGTTAAACGTATTTGGCCGCAACCAATAAAAAATGCAAGTCAACAATTTTGGGAAGATATTATTAATCAACAATTGAAGAAATCAGCAGGTGATAATTGAACGCAATTAATATTTCACTTCGTTATAATAACAACGTTTTAGGTTCGTTGCTGAAGAAAATCCATGAAGATTCCCAACGAAAAATTGATGGTTCATTTAAACCAAAAATAGTTATTTACTCTGGGCACGATATAAACATTGTTTCGTTGATGGGAGCGTTTAAGCTCTTTCAAAAGGAAAATATAAGATATGGCAGTTACGTAATTGTGGAGCTGCATAAAATCGAAAATGATTATTATATTAAAGTAAGCATTTATATGACAAATAAAATTATTTTATTTTTATTTACTATTTTTTTTAGATTATTTACGAGAATTACAATTTAAGTAAACCAGAGGTTATGCATGTACCAGGATGCTCGGAATTTTGCAAATTTGAAAAGTTTGTTGAAGTCACCAAAATGTTTTATCCAAATGAAAACTGGTGTTCATAAATTGAAAATTTAAATACATTTTCTTTTTTTTACTATTTATTTAGTACTTATTTTTTTATAATTTATTTCGTCTTTCCTTATCTCAAGAAAAATACGAAATAGTATATTATTATTTATTATATTAATATAACTATCATAAGAAAATATAATTTAATTGCATATTGGTATAAAAATGTTTTATTTAACATCTTTAATTTGAATAGAAGTTAATGAATATTAATTTTTGGAAAAATACTTAATATACAATACAATACTTATGCAACCCATTTTACATTTTAGAAATGTATTATATAAAGTAAAATCAAGCTACGTTAACTTACAAATCAGAATTTCAATATAAATTTAGGAAAATATATTTATTGTACAGAATCTAAATTCTACAGTTCAACTTTTTTTCATATTATTTACAGATCATATCAGGGACAACTATGTTCATTATAGTGTTATAATTGAAATATTATGGGTTTCTCTAAATTTTTGGCTAAATGGCTAAAAACATCGACATATATATACAGTACACCCTCCTATAACGTTTTTTTAATGTACAATACTAAAAATACTTACAAAACACAGGAATATATCAGGAGGAACAATTGTTAAAACTATATATTTTCGACTAAACTGTGGTTACTTATCTATGGAATTTTGGACTCTAAACTGAAAAAATATATATGTTGATTCAGCCTCCTTCAGAAAGATAGAAAAGATAGAAGTGCATTAGTGGCGATTAGGAAAATAAAGTTTCATATGACAAAGTGTACCACTGATAAGTTGAATTATCTTAGGTTGAAAATTTTCATTCTCATTCTCCTAATTTAGAAACATGTTATTCTATAATATAACAAATTTTTTAGGTTGAATTTTCTCTATACAATACCAAAGTATTATAATTTCTTCATAATTATATAGGAAAAGCTATTGTCAAACTTATTTTTAGAAATTGAAAGTGTTTTTCATAGTGACATAAAATTAATAATACTTACTTAGATTATTTGTTCATTTTATAAGTGTAGTGTATTAATTAAACTTTTAATAAACAAATATATTAATAAGGTGCAGTTGCCAAATATTTATTTAAAATTATTACATAACAATGCCATTAAAGAATATACGCATTTATATTTACAACAGTTTATATAAATGGAAGTATCATGTTTCAACTTAGTGTATGTTAATTTATATATGAAAGGATGAAGTTTTCAGCTATACTTTTCTCGCTTCTATTTTCAACCTTATTTTTATTTGTGCAAATTGAAGGAACTTTATTATTATCACAAGTGGTAAGCTAATTAATTAATTTAATTTACATTGATGATTTTAATTGATTATTTCTAGATAATACGACATGGAAACAAAACAATGGATTTGGAGTACACATTTCCAAATGATAACCATGAAAATATATCATTTGGTCCGTATGGTCCAGGCGAACTTAATTTGGTACAACTAATACTTAAAAATCATCATATTTTTCGTACTTTTTTTGTTTGTTCTAGGCGGGTAAAAAGAAAATGTTTCAAGTTGGTAAAGCCTTAAGAAAGATGTATAATACTTTCTTGGGTGATGATTATCAAAATGATTTAATTGAAGCATTGTCATCAGAATACAAAAGATCTATGATGAGTATGCAAACTATCTTAGCCGCATTATTTCCACCTAAATACTTATTAGAATCAAATTTACATTGGCGACCAGTACCTTTCAAGTATATACCATTTTCTAAAGATCAAGTAAGATTGAAAATACAGTAATACCTAGCATAGTGCGGCTTCGTTCAATCCTTATTTACTATAGTACGGTTTAAAAAATTAAAAAAATACTAAATTTTAATTACTACATAACAATATTTTATATATATAAATTTTATTCAGTCAATACACTTTTTTAGAATCCTCGATTTGTCCGATTTCAAACTGTCCGGGATATTGACGGAATCACACTATGCGAGTAATTATTGTTTTTTTTATTCCAGAATAAACTAACTCTTTAAATTTAGATGTTTGCTGTACACAAGACTTGTCCTAATATCATAAATATAAAGACCCAAATAGATAATACTACTCTCAAATATTATAAATATTTAGAAGAGTATTCAGGAATGAAAGTTGTTAGTTCTCTTGAAGTCTATATTATTTACCAAAACATGAAAACCTACGTAAGTTATATTTGTTTTATCTAATATTTTTAATATAATATAATCAAAAAAAAAACAATGCACAACATAGGTTGAGTGTGGTTTAGATCTTCCTAGTTGGATTAAACCGCTTTGGCCTGAACCTTTGACGAATTTAGCACTGCAATTTTGGGATGATATGATAGATCAACATTTACAAGAAGCGGCAGGTTTATATTTCAATAATAAATATAATAGAATTGGTTACAATTATTTTATTATTTAGGTAATTTCCTAAAGAAAATACATGATGATACTCGTAGAAAGATTGAGGAAAACTACAAACCTAAATTAATTATTTATTCTGTTCATGATGTCAATATTATAATTATTTTGGGAACTTTGCAAAACTATAATAGAAGAGATATAAATTATGGAGCATATCTTATTTTCGAATTACATAAAATCAATGACGATTTTTATATAAAGGTATGATTTTTCTATATACAACATACAATACAAGTTTTATTAATTTATGTTTTTTTTAGATTTTGCTTGAAAATTATAATTATGATGATCTTGAAATTATTGTAATTCCAGGTTGTTCCGAGTTTTGTAGGTTTGACTTGTTTGTCAATTTTACTAAAATGTTTTTACCTACAAACAATTGGTGCAAATAAAAAAAATACAGAATTTTGCGTTAGTTTCCATAAGATCGGAACTGTTCTGATCACCCATAGTATTTTCCTTATTAACCCGTAACTAATATGAACAAATAAAGAAAAAAAACTACTAACTATTTTTTTAAGCAACTAGAAGAAGTTAGTCTTTTGCATAACTCACAAAACGTTGTTGTTTTCTTGTCTCACTTATTTGGACAAAAAATAGCTTTCTTTTCGATTACTTCATTAGGTTGTGTTTCAACAGTCATCTTAACTTGCATATTTGCAATCAGTCTATAATTGTTTTTACTTTTTTGTTCTTACTGAAAAGCGCACTACAAAATTAGAATATAACAAATATCAAGTAGGTCATTCTGACCCATCCGTAGTATTTATGGGTTAAAATAATGATGCTTGTGTTATATCATTGATAATCTTCTTTAAATGTAATTAAAAACACTTATACAAAAATGCATTTATTTAGTTCTACTTTTAGTATTAAGCATATATTGAAAGAAAGGATGTTACCATAAAATTCCGGAAGATCGTAAAGAGTTTATGTATTCTGGACACGATTTTAATACCATTACATTTATGGACGTATTCGAAGCTCGCAAGGCTAGAATAATTAATTATTCCGCATACGTTTAACCATTTAATTAATGGATTGATTGGAAAAAACACTAAATTTGGAAAGCTTTAAATGTACCGAGAAACTTTTTTAGATAATTTTAATTGAAAACATTTCATTCAGACATAGGAAAATAATATATAGAGAAATTAAATATACAGAAAAAAAATTAGTAATGCAGATTTTATAACAATAAAATGTGCACCCAAAATAAGTTTTCTTGTAAATTACAAAGAAAAAACAGGAAACATGTTAGTATCTTTCTATTTGGTTATGATTATGATGTCACATTTCACTCTTAATTACTGTCATAGTTTACGTGCGCTTCAATATTAGAATGACTTTTATATATATACTCAATTATAATACGCATCACTATAGAAAGTATAAAATAAGAACACATTTTGTGTATTATTAAATATATGAGATTTTAGGATCTCTAAATTAAATTTACGAAATAAACAAACGATTATTTTTGTTGGATTATTATTATGTTTTTTGATTGAAACAAAAGTTTTTTATATATCTCGATGAATATTTCGGTTATATTATTTTATTTCTTATGGTTTATGAAAGTTATGACTATATGTGTACAATGACTAAATATATACTATTTTAGAGATTAATGATAAACCTTCAAATAAAAGATAAATATTACGTAAATGGTGATAGAACCAATAGTTAAACTTAAGTCATTGATAAATCGTATGCAATTGGAAGTCAAGGTTTTCAAATCTTTAATTGGATACGCATGCTCCAATACTGATATGTTAAATTGTTAATATTTATTTTAAAACAGTTTAATACAAAATCTAATCTCATGGATTTTCTTGTCAGTTCAAAGTTAATTCTCTTAACAAAAACATATTAAATTGTAAGAAACACACAAAAAGCGTATTTTGTAATAATTAATATTTTGTTTATTTATTGTAATATTTTTAATTTTTGTAGAAAAGTTATAACAATTAATTAATAAATTACATAATAATTAGACACATAAATAGAATTATGTAGGATATTTATATAAACTAATGGTGTAATAACGTTATGTAATCAATAAAAGTGTATTTGTTTTAAGATTACAGAAAACTCACAATGCGGAATTTATCATTACTGTTATTATTTTTCTTATCAACTGGATTATCTTACGTTCTTAGTGAAAAGACTTTAATATTAACACACGTTGTAAGTACAATTTGATTGTTTCTTTTTTAATTTTAATGTTTTTATATTAATTTTATCTAAATTTTCGTATTCAACATGCATTTTTTATATAAAAAAAATTGACTGAAATTTGTATTTCGTCTTATGGTTGAAAAGTAATAAAAGTTGATTCTAGTTGATTCTAGTTGATTCTAGTTGATTCTAGTTGATTCTAGTTGATTCTAGTTGATTTTAGTTGAAATAATTTCCAGATCTTCAGACATGGTGACAGGACACCCGATTACAGCTTCCAAATACCAAATAATCCGTATTCCAATGAAACCTTCTTTCCTTACGGTCCGGGACAACTGACTTTGGTTTGTAAATCAAATGAAAATCTGAATCAAAACTAAACTATTCAATGTTAATTTAGAAAGGAAAAACAAGAGCTTACAATTTGGGAGTATCACTGAGGAAACGTTATTCAAGGTTTTTAGGCCCAGTTTATTATAACGGATTGATTGATGCAACATCCTCATTCCTACCAAGAGCAGTAATGTCTTTACAATCAGTTCTTGCAGCCCTATTTAAGCCAACAAAAAGGTGGCAATTAAAAAGAACAATTAAATGGCAACCGGTTTATTTCAAAGCACCAAGTCTCAAGGAAGATAAAGTTTGTTATAAGCAAAGCAAATTATGTAAATATGTTACAGGATAAATATTTCAGATAGTTATTCCATCTTGTCCAAAAATTTTCGATGTGCATACAGACTTTGATGAAGAATCTAAGGCATTTTATAAATATGTTAGCGATTTTGTAGGATTCAACGTTACAAAATCTATTGAAATGATGGCTATACATAACACGTATCACGTTTTGGTATTGATTTTATTTAATTAATCTTCAAATCTTTATATTTTTATTTTATTTTAATAGGATGAACAAGGTTTTTCTTTACCAAAATGGGTTTTGGCCGTTTGGCCCGAACCTTTGTTAAGATATAGTTTGCAATTTTGGAAAGACATGAGCGATCAAACTGTTCAATATGCTGTTGGTTCGTTTCCTTTAGTTAAAAATAATTGTTTTAATTTAAATTATACTACTTTTAGGGCCTTTATTGAAGAAAATTAATGATGATACAATGGCAAAGATGAAAGGTACTTCTATAGATCAATTGGAATGTAAGATGTATTTATATTCAGGACACGATATGAATGTTGTTGGTTATCTGGGAGCTATTGGAGTGTACAAAGAGGCACTCTATATTAATTACTCTGCTTCCATCATGATTGAAATACATAAATATACAGACACTTATGGTGTCAAGGTATCAGTTTTACATAACATTTCATAACAATAAGCTTCATAAAGATATTTTGTTTTAGGTATTTTTTGATAATTCCGACGGAATTGGACCAATCCTTTTAAGAATTCCCGCTTGTGGTGGTATTGATATCTGCCCTTTGGAAAAGTACATTGCAATTACTAAAAATAAATATGGCCCTAAGGAATGGTGCGGCTAAAATGATTAACAAATCAATTTATTAATCATGGAATTAAACTCGAATATAATTCAACAAATATATATTATTATTCAATTCAGCAATATTTCTCATAGTGCGGGTAATCGCTTCTGCCAATATTTAAACCGCACTAATTGAAGACTATAAAACCACATAAAACTAAGCAGCACACAAAAAAGATTAATTATTTGGTATGTTTTGAAAGTTTCAAACCGTACTATAGTGAAGTCTTACTGATTGACGGCGCACTAATTGCTGTATATTGTTATAGACTTTCCTGTTTTTATTACTATTATATCTATATACTCTTATGTAAACTTTTTATTCTGTTATGTATAACCGTTATTGTTTATATTATGTTAGCCCTTATTATTTTATACATGTTTATGTTGTGGCGCTTATTTCGGCCTGGATATGAAGTCACGTACCAACCCGGTACAGTACGCTCTACTCCAGCCCGTAGCGGGTATACCTAGAAGGGCAGATAAGGATGATACCCGCTTAGGGTATATAAGCGGCCGGATATACGGATATAGCTCTCTTGTGTCGCGCCACGTTAGCCAGCAAGGTTCTCCCTATTATGTCTTGTAAGTACCCTTGTGTATCCCACCTCCTTCTCTCTGTGTACCGTTACTTACTCCGTGGATAAGCCGAATAAACATACTTGTGAACACCGCCATTTTGGAAGTAAATTTTCACACTCTATAAGGATTCCTCTTCTTTCTATATAACTGAACTTCTCCAAAATGTAATACAAAATCAGTCTGAGAACTCCACAACTATAGAAATATAAGAAAATCCACTGTGTCCAAATTCCATCCTCTGGACACGACAATACTGTATATTAAACAATTGTATTATCCGTTAGATATATGGATCATGCTTTTAATCAAAGATTAGCCGTATTATTTAAAAAAAGTTTGATATAAAATGGACAGAAATAATTGCAACCAGACCACTGACCTACGTTTTTTTTTAAATCTTATAATTTATTATGAAAAATTATAAAATAAAAACGCGACTAAAATATAGTATTTTTTACTAACCAATAAGAAAATTTATTTTCGAATATTTTCTGACAATTAGTTATATTACTTAATTTCGATAAACCTAATTTTGATTTATTTCAAGAAACATACATAAAATGCATAAATATTAATAAAAATAATATCAAGTTTATGATTTTTGTTATCTATTTTATATCATTATTAAACCTCACATATATATACATACTTTACTATCATTCTTATTAGATTACTTTTAGCGTTATTACTGATTAGCGCTTGGTAATTATATTTATCAGCATACATAACTTAAGAATTAAAATGAGTAATCATTACTCTAAACTAGTTTATTAAACCTTTTTTGTCTCAAGGCACGAGTAAACCTTTGACTAAATTTCGCAGAATATTTTATCACACTGGAAATTTGTATACCTAGTACCATAAAATATATTTATTTACTTGGAGGTTTGATCTGAAAGGACAAATTCATAGATTTATACGGAGAATACAATTGTTTGTATTGTTTGTTATCATGACATTTACCAGATTTCGCCGATATATATTTAAAACTCTATTAAGTATCTAATTAAATATCTTTTAAATTTTTCGAAATACACCGGTTGAAGCTAAATATGATGGTTTTAGTACAATGCATAATTTTTTTTAGCTGCATGGTTCAAAAACGTAAAAGGTGGTATGCAACAACTTACGAGAGTTAAGCATCATGATTGGTGACCATTAGTCTAAGCTAATTGCGATGATTTATTAGAACGTAGACAATTATTGGATTGATAATAATTAAACCTAGTACTAAATATATACATATTGAGAAAGTAAAGTGCTTCAATTTAGTAATTGTGCATTTAGAAGTCAAGGTCATAAAATCATTAATTAGTTACGCGTGCTCTGTTACAATAAAAAATATTCTTAATGTTATCATTAATTTATAAACAAGTTTTTTTTTTATAAAGTATTGACAATCATTTCTTTTCTTAGTTTAAAGTGATTTTTGTCAACTAAAAACATATTTAAATGTAAGAAACATATTAATATAATAAAATTATTATTATTGTAAAGGAATATGGTATGAAAATGTCAAAACAAAGTTAAAGTATACAAACTTATTTTTTATACAAAAATGTTTGTTTTTTCTTTTCTCTTTATATAGTCAAGTCTCTTTCAATGTGGTTTATTTATCTATTTGTTTAGTTCCTCGATTAGTTCGGTTTTCAATAGAGCGGAATTTTGGATTAGTTTTTTATGTTTTTTTTTTTAAATAAATTATCATTCTATAGAAAAAATAAATCTTAATTTTCATAGTTTATATATTTTTTTATAATATTAGGTTTAAGAATTTTTAAATAAATTAATCGATTATTTTTATATCTATATAATTTATCTATCAATTAATGTTATTTTTTCAATATACAATTATTTATTATTAATCTAAATGCATATCCAATCAAATCTAAATGTAATTCTATATTTTTGACATATAAATAAATGCACACTATGCAACCAAATATACCTTACTTTATGTCATTCACTTATAACCTCTTCTTTGAAACCGGACCAATCCAATACGTTTAAACCAGATTAAAAAAAATACGCGTAAAAACAAATAATTTATGTATGATTTTTATTTTCTTAATTAAAATTTTGTTTTGTCTAAAAAAAATTATACCAGACTGATCGAAGTCGCACTATGTGCAGTATTGCTATAGTTTCTTTGTGTTCTTATTTCTTCTATATATATTCATTTAATTAAAGTATCAAGAATTTATTTTTGTAATTAAGCATGTAATTTTAAAGTAATAATATTAACTACATATTTCTTCTAATTTATTATAGTTTTTATAGTTTATATCGTTGGATCCAAAATATATTATTTGGATTACTATAAATGATAAAAAATAAACTAATTATTAAAAATATTTATTTAGAAATAAAGTGAAACTTGTATGTCCATTCAAATGACGCAAATATTAATACACGTGTAATTCAAGCAAATACCGGTATTATATTTAATAATATGTGATAGTAAAATTATATGAGCCATTCGCATTAATCCCATGTAATATCAAAAAATACTATAATTTGAATGCAAAAAAAAACTATTAAAACCTGCATACTACGTTAAATCCATATATCATTTTTAATTAGGTTAAACCTAATATTATAATCTTTATAATCTCGCTGTATAGATTATAAAGTATTTATGTAATTTTTTTTGCGACTATATCAATATAAGTAACAGAAATATGTGATAAAATATAGTAAAGCACCAGACGTCATTTGTTAAGGTAAGACACACAATTTCTTATTATTTCATACCAAATTATATAACTATTTTACTTCAGTATTTCAAATAAAACTGTGCATTTATTATACTATAATAAATTTGTCATATAATATTAATAAAATTGATTGCGACAACAATAAAATCACGTAATAATTATACGAAAAAAAAACACAATAATCATTTCATGCGGTTATTGACTACAGGTAATCCCGTTTTATTGATTATAATTAATTATCTAAATATATGCATTTTTTTACAATATTATAGACAACTTATCTATTAATTATATCAATTAGTCATAATTACGTATTTAAACGATGTGTTTCATTAATTTTATTTCAGTATCCAAGAATCCAAAATAAAGATCATGTGGAGGTTATTGTTTTTGCTGAGTGCGTACTTGGCTACAGTCTTTTCGGCTCCAGGAATCGAAAGAGAAACGTTACTTCTTACGCACATTGTAACTAAAATAAATTATAATTAATTAAGTAAAAATTAATTTATTTTTAAAGATTTTTAGACATGGAGATAGGACACCCGATTTTCATTTCTTCAAAACACCCAATGATCCTCTAGCTCATGAAACATTCTTTCCATACGGTAGTGGACAATTGACTTTAGTAAGTACTTTTCTGAAATTAGATTGGTAACAATATAGATTTATTATTTTGTAGAAAGGTAAAATAAGAGCTTATGAACTAGGGGCTAAATTGAGAAAAAGGTATTCCAATTTTTTGGGAGCTTTATACTATGCGGATTTGATCGAAGGCATTTCATCCTCTGCCCCGAGGTGTGTAATGTCCATGCAATCCGTCTTTGCAGCTTTATTCCCGCCAACTGAAGAGTGGCAACTCAAATTTGGGTATGACTGGCAACCAGTTTACTTCTTATCGCCGAGCGTCAATGAAGATAAAGTAAGGGTCAACTATAAAAGTATTGATTAGTTTTTTTAATAAGTGAAATTTTAGTTAATCTATCCGTCATGTCCAAAAATATTCGACGTCCAAAGTTATATGGACGGGGAGAAAGCAGATTTCTATAAATATGTTAGTGAAAACTTTGGTGTTAATATTACCACTTCTTTTGATATGCTTGGAGCTCAGAATACTTATCAAGTTTTGGTATGAAATATTAGCTAGAAGTTAAATAGAATTTATATTTCTTTATATCTTAATGTAGGGAGAACTAGGATACAATCTCCCAGAATGGGTTTCCAAAGTTTGGCCTCAACCCTTCTATAAATATGGTATGGAATTTTGGAATGAAATGGCTAGTCAAAAAGTACCATACGCTATAGGTATAATTAACCTATTAAAATATATATCGCTGATTTAAATTTACCAACTTTACTTATAGGTAATTTATTAAAAAAAATCAACGAGGATACAATGAAGAAGGTGACTGGAGATTTAGTTCCAACTGATCGTAAGATGTTCTTGTATTCTGGGCATGATCTCAACTTGGTTGCTTTCTTTGGAGCAATTGGTGTATACAAACAAAATATGTACATTGATTATTCGGCTTCTATTATGATCGAAGTCCATAAAGTTAGAGGACGTTATGGTGTGAAGGTAAGCTTAGAAACTCCAGTTAATATTACATCTTCAAGTTAACATTACATTTTCTTTGTCTATTTATGAACATTTTTGGTCTTGAAGAATAGGTATTATAACTAGATACTATGAAGAAAATGACTGGAGATGTAGTTCTATGTGATCGTAAAATGCATTTGTATTCTGGGCATGATCTTACTTAGGTTAGAAGATCGAAGTCCAATAAGTTAGATGACGTTCTGAAGTGAAGTTAATCTTGAAAAATCTTCAGCTTAGATCTTTAAGTTAACATTAAGAAGATGAGTGCAGATTTAGTTCCATTTGATTATCAGAAATTCTTGTATTCTGGGCATGATCTTAATTCAGTTGCTTTCTTTGAAATAATTGGAGTATACAGACAAAATTTGTAGGAAGAATATCCTGCTTCTATTATAATCGAAGTCCATAAAGTTAGATGACTCTATGTAGTACATCTTAAGTTTTTATCTCCAAGTTACATACATACATTTTGTTTATGTAATTTCTTGGACTTTTTACAAAATGATGAAAATTTTTGAACTTGATTAATAGGTATAAATATTGGTTAAATATGGATATAAAAAAATATGAGCATAAATATGATTATATATAGGTATAAATGTATCTATAAAAATGATTAATTGTTACAGATATTCTTTGATAACGTCGATGGAAAGGGACCTCAGCTTATAAAGATCCCAGCATGCGCTTACCTTGAAATATGTCCTCTGGAAATTTACATTGCCATAACTAAAGCACAATATGGACCTGAAGATTGGTGTACATAAACTAATTAATATCATAAATAAATAAAGATATTATAAATAATCAATGTTTTAATCATTATATAACACTTGTAATCATCACAATATATTTCATTAAATAATATTTAAATTTTCTTGTATTTACATTCTATTAATTACTAATATGTAAATATACAGAAATAGCTCATATTAAACAATCGTATGATTTACACTAATTAATAAAATAAATATATTTAACATTGTATATTATATAAACAATAGCTATTGTACAATTATTTACATAGACAAATTATTTTATTACTCTTACTATGTATAAAAGCAATGCAATTATCACTGATAATTATTTAAAAATAAAATTTAGTTTTAAAATTAGAATTAACTACAATATAATTAATAACACTATTATTATTTGAATGCAACAAAAGGATTGCCGCAGATAAACCACAATATACAATTTGTCTGGAAAAACTATAAATTGAGTTTCAAAAATAGAAATATATAGTTTTATACCATCATTTCTTGGTATGATTAATTTATATAATTGAATACGTCAGATCAATTAAATATTTCATTTGCAAAAAGATATACAATAACATGTTTAAATTGGAATTACCAATAAGTTTATGCAATTTACTTATCATTAATTTAGTATTTTCCAACAATTTTCTATTTCGAGAAGCGCACGATAATTTATAAGATAAATTTCCATGATTTATCATTGAATTATTTTATAATTCCAAACCTGGAGATTCTTCTGGTATGTTAGTAATTTCACATTTAAAAGGATCTACAACCCAATTCACAGTTTGTACATCAAAGTAGTCAGAGAACCGCTCTCTGAGTTTGGTAAGATGAAATTAAAAAAATCCCTATTACCTAATGTCCCTCGATTGATACCCTCTTGTTCCTACTGCGCTGCTTTTTTTCCCCATCATTCCTTTATTTTCCATGTGTATATATTGTTATTGTTCCATAATTAAATTGGACGGAAATAGTCTTATGAAACACTAGATCATTTTGAATTTTCTTAATATGATGTTGGAATTCTATCTTACTTTTTTATGTTATAGTTTAATAATAATAATATTTATTAGTTACAATGCAAATAAAGGGCTATGGACCCAAGTCTAATCCGCCCAGAAACACAAATAACATAAATTGTCACAATAAATCATATACAAAAAATGCATTCTGTAAAAAGTAAGACATACATATATGTAAATATAAAAAAACAAATTATAAATAAAAGTAAATCTTGTCGAAATGAACAAATAATAATTATAATATTATACAAATAATAATAATTTCATTACTTTTATAACTGACGTATTATCAGTTATATAATATTATTTTAATTGCAGGTTTAGCTGCGGATTTTAAAAAGGTTGAATAAATATTATGCATCTTGTTTATCTTCAAAAATAGGTTGAGCTACATGTGCTAATCCACAGCTGGGATTAATAATTATTCTTATTGGATTAACAATTAGTAAATAAATAAATCCTTATTATATCATTATTTTTATAAAATGAATGCATATTATAAAAAAATATATTCTACTAAATTGTTTATAAAAAAATATATTTCAATTCTTTATTACTATTACTAAATTGAGGTAAAATTCTACAACGAGTATATCAAAATCTCGCATAATCCACCAATATCGGACTCAGTAAAACCGGACTAATCCAGGACTTTAAAACCATATAAAAATTAATCACACATGAAGGAACTTGAGTGTGGAAAACAACCGATCATTTATGTATTTAAAAAATAATAATTTTGTGTACTATTTTTTTTTAATTTAATCGGATAAAGAGATAATAATTTAATTTATTGATAAAATTGAAGTATGAATAAAAACACACACAATTATGTTGATAATTAGCTAAAAATTGATAATATACAGTATATAAATTGTTTGCGCGGTATGCTTTTCCTTACAGTAATTTGAAAGCGAAACAATGTGGAAGTTATCTTGTTTGGTATTTGCTAGTCTTCTTGTACAATTTTCTGTAGCAGAAGATACGGATACTTTACTTCTTACACATATTGTAGGTAATTAGTTTATAATTTAATCAAATTACTATAATAATTTTATATTATTGTAGATTTTTAGACATGGCGACAGGACACCTGACTATGGTTATATGCCTTTACCAAGTAATCCTCATGCTAATGAAACCTTTTTTCCATATGGAAATGGACAATTAACTTTGGTAATATATTGGGTGTTAACATAAGTTGTGTTCGTTTTTCCAAATTAAGAGGACATAAGGATACAACAACAGAAATTAACTACATATTAGTCACTAATATATTCTCTTTCATTATACACAACTTCTTCCTAAGGTTCTACAAGTTTCTCGATGTAACCATCTAGAAAGGGTGGAAATTTGACTTGGTTTAAGCAGTTTTCGTCAACTTCCACTGGTTGCCCGCTCCATGACTTTCTGGTCGAAATTACCCTCTTGGGAACGCGAAAACCATCGACTTTTCATTCATAGCATCTTCACTTACATGGCGCATATATCGCGTTCAGCTTTGGAAGCTTTATTCCTTTGATTAGACGCGAACAGATGTAGTGTCTAAAGTGCCCACTTTTGTCTACTTGACATTCCATTTTGAACGCGTATAATTCAATAAACTAATGGTTGTAACGTAAAAGCCAACACAATATCTTGTAGAGTAGAAAATGTTGTTTCCACTAACGTATAATCTTTATCATTTATTTTTACTTTTCTAATTTATATTAGTATCTTTCCAGGTCGGTAAAAAGAAAGCTTATAACCTAGGAGTTAAATTAAGAAATAGATACTCAGAGTTTTTGGGTGATCTATATTATTTAGATTTAATCGAAGCTATTTCCTCTTCATCGCCAAGATGCGTCATGAGTATGCAATCAGTGTTCGCAGCTCTATTTCCTCCAACTCCCGAATGGGAACTAAAGTCTGGATTAGAATGGCAACCAGTTTATTTATTGGCTCCGAGCATCAATGAAGACAAAGTAAACTTATTAGTAAATCATTGTATAAATTTTAATATATCATGTATTTTCAGTTAATTTATCCAAGCTGTAAAAAGATGAATGAATTACATGTAGAAATGGATGAGGATAAAGCCTCTGTTTATGATTATATTAGTGAGAATTCTGGTATCAACATTACTTCATCCTTAGAAGTGATGTTCATACAAAATATTTATCTAGTTTTGGTATAAACAATTGCATAATTGTAATGAGATTATAAATATTTTATATTTGTTTCTTATTGGTAGGATGAACTAGGTTATGAATTACCTGAATGGGTGTTGAAGATCTGGCCACAACCATTTACAAAATATGGTTTACAATATTGGAAAGAATTGACTGATCAAACTGTCCATTATGCTATAGGTTTACTATTCAAGTAATAAAAATATATATGTATATAATTTTCATAATCCTAGGACCGTTGCTAAGAAAAATGGACTTGGATACACTGAACAAAATAAATAATACCTTGGTACCAAAAGACCGTAAGATGTTTATGTATTCTGGACACGATTTAAATGTAGTCTCTTACTTGGGAGCTATTGGAGTTTACGAAGAAAATTTGTACATTAATTATTCAGCTTCGATTTTGATCGAAGTACATCAAATTAATGACAAATATTTTGTGAAGGTATTTGTAAATAATTATTTTATTCTATATTCAATTATTTTGTTAAAGGTATTGTTTGATAACTCCGATGGAAATGAATACCAAGTCATCAGAATCCCAGCTTGCGGAGGAGTTGAATTATGCCCATTAGATACTTATATTAGCATTACGAAAGCCAAATACGGACCGGAAGAGTGGTGTACATAAACTTCAATAATTCAGTAATAATAATTAATAAACATTATAATTAGTACTAAATAAAATTTTGCTACAAATTCTAGAATACTTTTTAGATACATGAAAAACACATCCTGACAAAATCCTGAAATTTCTTTGTATTTTGAATAATTCCAAATTTCCCATAAGAAGTCTATTCTAATATAAGCCTTTCTTGGGACTTTTTATAAATTGATACAAAAATAGTAAATAACAATTATATAAACTTTATAGTAAGAATTATAAAAAAATATTATATAAATTGTTTGTATTTATATTTTTTTAAGAATAAAATTATGTCATTAGAAAATCATTTGTTGAAATAAAAATTTGCTCAAATCCTAAAATGTATACTGTACTCTCATCTCAACATCATCAGTTACCTAACTGGTATCTAGCGCCAGTGTGCCACATTCTTAATGTGGCACTCCAAAAACCGATACTCATTTAAACCGGTTTCGTAGAAAAGTTTAGATTCGAAAACCGGTTTTTGTACAAATACGTAATATATTTTATACATACATGTGAATATGACTAGAAGGCGTTCCTAGGAACGCTAAATGAAGACATTTTTATACTTATAATAAATTTAGAGCTTTTTAGGTTTCGAAGAGACCGCGTTATATCAAATCAACGATGTCTTTCTGTATATTGAAATCCATATGTATTTAGATTATTTCTTGACTATTATGATTTTTACAAAGAAATAAGAAGCTAAAATACATGAACATCAGATTTAATAAATCACACATTACAATAATAATTATTTATTGTAATATGTATATTTCCTAATGTCTTTCATAATACTAATAATAAAGTATCTTTGAAGTTAGAATATAACATAAAAAATAATTCATAATTTATTGTAATTCATTTTTATTAATTATTTTTTAAATCCATATATGTTAAATCCATAAAACAAAGTTTTTTTTCAAAGTGTATTTCAAAGTATCTGAAACAATTTTAAATAGAAAAAGAAAAGTTTTAATCACATAAAACTTTATACTTATGAAATCAAATTACATTATAATTAGAAACACATGTTTCTATGTTATGTTAATATCTAGTATTACACAGATATGTATATTCATATTTAATCGCTAATAAAAAAGATTATAAACAAGTGTTTACACTTGTTGTAAATATTGAAGTATACTAAAAAAAAATGATAAATAATTAATAATAGATAATATTACGGTATATAAATGCTAACAATTTGGCACTACCTATTGAAAAACGTAACAATGTGGAAGTTATTTTTCTTGGTGTTTGCGTGCCTTGTCTCAGAATTTTGTGCCTCTCAAGATTCTTTACTGCTTACACATATTGTAGGTATTATTATTTAATTAAGTTAAGTTATTGATTTTACATTTCTGTAGATCTACAGACATGGAAATAGGACTCCAAACTTCAGTCATCTGCCTATAGTAAATAATCCTTATGCAAATGAAACTTTTTTCCCATTTGGAATCGGACATTTGACTTTGGTAAGAGATTTATAATTATACACTCATAGTTTATATTATTGCCGTTTAGGATGGTAGAAGGAGAGCTTATAATCTAGGAATCAAATTAAGGAAGAGATATTCAGAGTTTTTGGGTGATCTATATTATACTGATTTAATTGAGGCTAGATCTTCCAACTCACCAAGATGCGTTATGTCCATGCAATCGGTATTGGCAAGTCTATTTCCTCCAACTTCTGAATGGGAACTCAAATCTGGTTTGGAATGGCAACCTGCTTATTTCTTTGCTCCGAGCATCAAAGATGACAAAGTTTTTCAATGTTTTAAAGATAAGTTATTTAATATTAATATTACTACTTTCAGTTAATTTACCCGAGCTGCGATAAAATAACTAAACTTCATGGAGTTATGGATGAAGAATTTTATAACTACGTTGAACAGAATACCGGTATTAACATTACTTCTTCCTTTGAGATGATGCGTATTTGGAATATTTACCATAATTTGGTATACAATTACTCTAATTATATGATTTTAAGTTTACGTAATGTTTTATAGGAAGAACTAGGGTTTGAACTACCTGAATGGGTATTAGCGCAGTGGCCTCAACCATTTGCTAAATTTGGTTTGCAATATTGGAAGAGAGTGGCTGATCAATCAGCCCATTACGTTATAGGTTTACAGTCTATATTATCAAATATATTTTCAACTTATTACTATAATTGTAGGACCATTGCTCAAAAAAATGAACATAGACACAATGAGAAAGATCAATAATACTTTGATACCAAAAGATCGTAAGATGTTTATGTATTCTGGACATGATATAAATGTGGTTGGTTATCTGGGAGCTATAGGAGTTTTTAAAGAAAATATGTATATAAACTATTCCGCTTCTATATTGATCGAAGTGCATCAAGTTAATGACGACTATTTTGTTAAGGTATTTATAAATAATTGCTGAATTCTATTCTGAATTAAATTCTTTTGTTGAAGGTATTGTTTGATAATTACGATGGAAAAGAACATCAAGTTATCAAAATCCCAGCTTGCGGAGGAGTAGAATTATGCCCATTGAATACTTACATTAGTATTACGGAAGAAAAATATGGACCAGAAGAGTGGTGTACATAAACTTCAACAATTATAGTGAAATAGATATTACAACTCTAAATGAAATGCTTTATTATTTTCAACAAAAAATATTATATATTACGTAAACAAAAAAGTAATTATTTTATCAAACCAATTAAAATATCGTTATTTATCAAAATTTTAACTTTACATGGAAACATGGAAAGAAAACCCAGACCTCAGCTTAAAACAAAATTATAATTTACAAATCAATACTTAGTCAGGAGTACATAGGTTTCTAAATTCAGTTATTGACAATATCATTCTTAACCTTTTTGCAGTGCAATCCATCATATATGTTTGTAATTGCACAATTGAGTCGCAGTATATTTTACCAGCTCTTTGCTTTGACAGCATATGACCAGTTCTTTGAATTATACTGGTATTGATGCTTCTTTCTCTAGTATTTTTCTTATGTTTTTAGTGTGTTTTGTTATCTCTTTTGCTTAGCGTTTATATTTATGTTATTTTTCCTACCAGTTACCTTTGGTTTATCACCTAGCAAAATAAAACCAGTATTGTTGCCTTCCGTTGCCATCAGTCACTTTTTTGCTGTTACAACTTAAAACATTTTTTTACTTATGCATTAGAAATACATACTTTATTCAATATTCTCCAAAATTAATAAGTAGTGCATGTGTATATGTAAATAAATTTTTAAATGAATTTTTGAAGTATAATAATGTGGAAGTTTTTTTTTATTCATATTTGTTTGCCTGCCCTCAGAATACTGTACAAAAGAAGATACTAACCTCAATGATACTTTGATTCTTACACATATTGTAAGTAATATTTTGTTTTTAATAAAATTAAATAAATTATATTATTGTAGATCTACAGGCATGGCGACAGAACACCTGAGTACAGTAATCTTGTTTTGTCACATATCCCACATACTAATAAATCATTCTACCCATATGGAAAAGGACAATTGACTTTGGTAAGGAATAATTTTAAACATTCACTCATTTATATAAAATAATTTCCAGACTGGTAAAAAGAGAACTTATAACCTAGGTGTTAAGTTAAGAAAACGTTACTCGAAGTTCTTGGGTAGCCTTTATTATGCGGATTTGATCGAGGCTATTTCCTCTTCCACACCGAGAAGCGTCATATCCATGCAATCGGTCTTAGCTGGTCTATTTCCTCCAAGTCCCGAATGGCAACTCAAGTCTGGATTAGAATGGCAACCTGTTTATTTCATAGCCCCAAGCATCAATGAAGACAAAGTTACCCAAAGAGTAAAACATACATACAACTTTGAATAATTCATGTATTTTCAGTTAATTTATCCAAGCTGTAAAAAACTAAATATCCAGGGAGTTAGAGACGAGGAAACAGCTACCTTTTATAATTATATTAGTCAGAATAAGTAATCAACATTACTTCTTCCTTAGAAATGTTGACCATACAGAATACTTACTACGATTTGGTATAAAACAAATATATTTTTAACATAATTATAAATGTTTTTATATATATTTCCTATTGGTAGTCCCAACAAGGTTATGGACTGCCTGATTGGCTGTTACCAATATGGCCTCAGCCATTCGCCAAGTATGCTTTACAATTTTGGAAGGATGTTGCCAATCAAACACCACATTACGTTATAGGTTTATTTTCAATGTTATCAAATATATTTGAAATTAATTATCGTAACCTTTAGGACAATTTCTGAGAAAAATGAACGTCGATACAATGAACAAGATAAATAATACTTTGATACCAAGAGATCGCAAGATGTTCATGTATTCCGCACACGATATAAATATTGTTGCTTATCTTGGAGCTGTAGGGGTTTATGAAGATATTTTGTACATCAATTATTCCGCAACAATTTTGATCGAAATCCATAAAATTAACAACAATTATTTTGTTAAGGTATTTATTAATAATTGCATTATTTTATATTACTTTATTTTGTTCAAGGTTTTGTTTGATAACTCCAATGATAAAGAATTACAAGTAATAAAAATCCCAGCTTGCGGTGGTATGGAATTATGCCCATTGAGTACTTACATAAGTATTACTGAAGCTAAGTACGGACCGGAAGAGTGGTGTACATAATCATTAGTAACAACATTTTGGAGGAAACATAAGAAAATACTTCAATTATTAAGAGAAGAAAATAAACGTAATTTTATAATTAATTACTCAATAAATAATACATAAACTGCAATAATTAATTTAATAATTAATCACCAATAGCTTTATATTTACAAGAAATATACGATTGAAATGTATTCGCGGGCCATATTTGGCTGCCCGTTTAAGACCGGAACTACCATTTCATTTTACCATGCATTCATACTAAATATTATATATAGTGAACATTATCAATATGTATAACATATATTTACTAATATTCATTCCAAAGTCATTTATCATGAATGCTACTTTGTTGTTATATAAATAGGTAAATATATACACTTATAATTGATAAAGGTTTCACATAATAGTATAAATCATAATAGATAATAAAAATACAATATATTTCAAACTATATTCAATTATGAACAGAAAGAGAAAAGTCGATTTTTTTAGTATTTACTAAATTGTCTGTAGTTGTTCTTTACTTTTATTATATTGATTTATATTTATTTTGTATTTATATGACTTTTTATAAGAGCAATGAATTCATTTCAATTTACATTGTTGATGAACTTGGAGTTACACATTTTATAAGATAATAAAGTTATGTCTCAATGGCTTTTGTTCCTATTTACATACGATAATTATGAAGAAAATTATGTAAAAGCAAATACTTAACAAACGCATTTGATAATAGAACTATTAAGCAGTATTCATTTCCTTGAAAGTATTACAACTTGTGACAATGTGGAAATACATTTTCTTAGTTGTTGCTTATGTGGCCGTAGATCTTTCGATCATAAAAGATAATGTGATTACGAATATTTTGAGCAGTTCATCCATTATTCAAGATATTTTAAAACAAAATTCCTTGATTCTTACACACATTGTAGGTGAATATATTTGATAAAAGTTATGTAATTCATTTTATATTGTTACAGATCTACAGGAATGGCGATAGGACACCCAACTGCAGTTATTTACCAAAAGCAAATAATCCACATGCCAATCATTCTTTCTATCCATATGGAATCGGACAATTAACTTTAGTAAGTTATTATACAAACTATACACTCTAATTTTAATATTATCAAAAAGAAAACCGGTTTATAACGAGTTTTGAAGAATATTTAGTTACAAAAATAACAAAGTTTGTATGAGTATTCTATTACTACATATTTACTAAAATCTTTACTATTTTTTAATCAATATTTATGTAACTAAAAATTATACTAAATACTATAATCATTTTTATCAGTAAAACATCAGCAATATTTTTAAACCTGTTTTTTTAATTGACAAATTTTACTCATGTAATGTGTTTTTTAGGATGGTGAAAATACAGCTTTTAACCTTGGTGTTAAATTAAACAAACGTTACTCAAAGTTTTTGGGCAAAATATACTATGTGGATCTGATTGAAGCTATCTCATCTTCCTCACCAAGAAGCTTCATGTCCATGCAAACAGTCTTAGCATCTCTCTTTCCTCCAAATAAAGAATGGGAACTCATACCTAATTTGAACTGGCAGCCAATTCATTTCACAGCTCCAAATATTAACAATGACAAAGTAAAATCATGAGCGATAAAACAAACATATTTTCTATCAATTATAATATTTTTAGTTAATATATCCATCCTGCAAGAAGGTGAATCAAGTTAAAGGCGAAATGGATCAAGAAAAAGCAGCTGTTTATAAGCAAATCAGTAGTAATTCTGGTATTAACATTACTTCTTCTTTTGATGTGATGCGCATTCACAAAAATTTCCATATTTTGGTATGAAACTAATTATACTAATTATAGTAACTTGATTACATTTGCTTCTTATATTGTTAGGATAAACTTGACTACGATCTTCCTGGATGGGTTTTACCGATCTGGCCTCAACCATTCACCAAATATGCAAAACAATATTGGAAGGAAATGCTTGATCAAACTGTCCATTACGCTATAGGTTTATAATCAACGTTTATGGACGTATAATTCAATATAATTTTTATAACCGCAGGATCATTGCTGAAAAAAATTAACACAGATACAATGAACAAGATCGATAATACTTTGAAACCAAAAGACCGCAAAATGTTCATGTATTCAGGACATGATATAAACGTGATTGCTTACCTTGGAGCTATAGGAGCTTACAAAGAAAATCTGCACATTAACTTTTCCTCTTGTATTATGATAGAAGTGCATAAAATAGAAGATGAATATTTTATTAAGGTATTTATATATAAATTTCGTGCGTTTTTTAAGTTTGTTTTGTTGAAGGTTTTATTTGATAACTCCAATGGAAAACAACCAGAAGTCATAAAGATACCAGCATGCGGAGATGTGGAGCTATGTCCATTGGATAATTATATAAGTATCACAGAACAGAAGTACGGACCAGAAGAATGGTGCACATAATATTTAGGAGCAATTTTTTTACAGTATTCACATTTTTTTTCAAGATCATATTTGTTAATAAACTAACACAATGTTTGCAAAGTTTTCTTGTCTATACATTGTCCCAAAAGAATTTTATCTACTTATTTATTTACATTGGAGTAAATAAATATATAGTTTTTTAATGTATACTTTGTTTATAAGAGTACTAACTTAAATTGCTATATTAAAAGTGTAGTGCAAATATATATTTTGTTTTAATCCAAACAGCAAATGTATAAACTAAATAAACAAAACATTAAAATTAAAGGTAAAAATGACGTAAGTTTGAGATAATGAGAGATAAAATATAAATAATTTCACTGATTTACAAGCGAGATGTTCAGTGATCCGCGTATCTAAAAGGATGGTTAACTGCCCTAAAAACCTCATGTATTGGTCTGTGTATGGTGTGATTACCATAGTAGGAATAATCACGTTAGTTGTTGTTAATGAACAAGATGACAGGTTAGAATTTGTCGCTGTGGTACGTACAAATTTCCAATAACAAACATTACTTAACTAACTAAAGAATATTCATAGCTCTTCAGACATGGTCAAAGGACAATACCTTATTTAGACACTTACCCCAATGATCCTCATCGTGAGGAATCTTATAAACCATTCGGACTAGGTGGATTAACATACGTATATACACTAAATTTATTTATTTCAACTATATGATTATCTCGACTATTTCATTTTTTTTGTATAGAAAGGACAAAATGAAATGCTGGATGTGGGAAGGGAATTGCGGAAGAGATACAAAAGCTATTTAGGTGAGATTTTCTCGCATGATTTGGTTGAGGCAATTTCCTCGAGCTACGACCGCTCGAAAATGTCTTTGAGTTTAGTTCTCGCTACGCTTTTCCCTCCGAATGCGGAGGAAGTTATTGAAACTGGGGTGAATTGGCAACCGGTCCATTATACATACCTACAGGAGGAAGACGATGATGTAACATTATTATTACGATCAATATTTAAAACTTTAATTAAATAATTTCAGATGTTAGCCTTTTGGGGGAAATGCACGGATTTTAATCAAGATGAGATCCAAAAGTTTTTTAGTTCTAAAGAAATTATTGAATTGAATAAAAAATATAAAAATGTATATAAGTATATTCAAATGAATACCGGAGAAAACGTCACTTCTTTATTAAGAGCTGCACAATATTACAAGATTCTTGAAGCACAGGTAACATACGGTTTTAATGTGCCATATAATTTACTACTGTTTTTTTTCTAATATTTTAGACTGCATATGGTTTAACACTTCCAGAATGGACCCATCACATTTTTCCTGAACCTTTAAATACCATTCACAAATTACATTGGAGAGGTTTTATTGGCACCACAAAAGATATAAAATATGCTGCAGGTATTTGACTAACAATATACCGTAGATAATTAATTATTTTAATTAGTTTTAGATCACATATTTTTTATATACAAATTATAGTCAAATAATAATAATTTGTAACCAATCATATTAATAACAAATTGAACTGATACAAAGGGCTATTGACAATAGGTCTTTCTGCCCGGAATAGTTTTATCATTAAATTGATAGTTAAATATTTTACATAAGATGTTGATAACAATTAATTTATATAATTTATTAATAGAGTAGACCTGGAACTATAAACATAATTTGATTTCAAATTGTTCGACTTTCAAATTTAAATTTCTCTATAAATAATAATGTATGTTGGATCAATTCCAGATTAAAAATAGAGACCACATTAGTTCGAATTTCGAGATTTCATTAGTGTTCTATTCAGATTCTTCTTCATTTTTTAGTCAAGTTTTCAGATATGCACGTGATTCATTATTTGACTTTTGAGTGTTCGTTTGAAATCAAAGCATGTTATTTATGTTTTTTTGTCAAGTTTTAAGTTGTGCACGTAATTCATTGTTCATCTTTCAAGTTTTTATTCACATTCTAAACAGGATTTTTTTGGTCGAGTTTTAAGTTATTGTCCCACATTCGAGATTGTTTTATTTGTTCGACTTTCTAATTATGTTTTTATTCAGATTTATTTTTCAAAAGTTACATTTTTATTTATTATAAGTAAATCAATTGAAAGTAATTTAATATTTCATTCATTTTAGGTAGACTTTTGCAAACAATTAGCGGAGCCTTTTCAAGTAGAATAAATCAAACCCTGAGCTCCGAAAGGAAAATGCATATATACTCCGGTCACGATTTCGGAATATCCGGAACTCTCAGAGCCTTGCAAATTGATCATGATTACACTTTACCTGAGGGCGGCTATATACTATTCGAGCTGCATAAAATAAACGATATTTATGGAGTGAAGGTATTTTCTTATCTTGCAAGGAAACAAGATTACAGTTACATGTGAATTGATTACAGGTGTTTTATCAAGATTACTCGAGTGAAGAACCCAAATTGATGACGATTAGGAACTGTAGTCCGTTCTGTGAGATCGATCGGTTCATACAACTCACCGAACAGTATTATCCAAACCCAAATATTTGTCAATAGATATTTTAATATACATATAATAGATAAGGTTAAAAAACAAGAGTAAATTCCTTTATTGCATCCATAAAACCCGGACGATCTAGATAACTTTTTTTTCATTTATACACAGGTATTATGCTTTTGTTTCCAAGGCTATGGCTCAATCCAGTGTTAAATTAGGTGAGCACGATGTTCGTCAAAATCGCGAAAAGTACACTAATCAAAATAATATTGATAGCCATCGGTGGTTGCATAATCATCGGACTGGTGGCTATACTTCTTGTGATCGAGGATGAACCAATTGAGGAAATTGATGAAGTTGAGGATACATTGAGATTCGTCCAAGTGGTAAGCTAAGAATAACGTGGAGTATGCATAATTTTTGATAGCTTTTCAGACATGGAGATAGGACACCTGATGAGAAGGATCTCTATCCGAAAGATCCTTACTACAATTACACGTACTATCCTTACGGCCTAGGACAACTAACTAATGTATTTCTAAGTAAAAGCGAGTATTTTGTTTAATTTATATTCGATGTTTAATTCAAGGAAGGCAAATTGAAGGAATTCAACATGGGTAAAGAGTTGCACTCAAGGTACAAGAGCTTCTTAGGTCCTGTTTATTATCCGCAACTTTTAACTGCCATTAGCTCAGATTACTCCCGAACCAAAATGTCCTTACAATTAGTCCTAGCAGGATTATTTCCACCTACATCTGAATACGCTTGGCACGACACGTTGTCCTGGCAACCAATTCCTTACGAGTACACCAAATACCGCGATGACTACGTAAGTTCACCATTTACGTAACGTTGACTTTTAAAGTAATAAACAAATTTGTTTACAGCTCTTTTTTGCAGGACTATTTTGTCCCAACATGTACAAAGAGTATTTGAAAGTGTTAAAACTCGGAGAAGTTCAAGCTGTAATAAAAAACGTCTCCGACGTGATTGATTACATGTTGGAAACGACTGGTCTCGATTTACATACAGATTTATCAAAAGTTTGGCCTTTATATTTGAATTTTGAGACGCAAGTAAATTATGTTATTATACACTAAAATTATTATTATTTAAAATCTTTATTTTTCAAGGTCGAATTAGGTTTAGAAATACCTGAATTTGCACAGAAATTCTATCCACAACCATTGAAAGATATGGCTATTTACCAGTACTATTTAGTTACTTATAACAAAGAAATGAAGAGACTTGTGTCAGGTAAAAATAACAACTTGTTTAAAAATCATTGAAAACAATGTTAATTCCTTTGTAGGAAATTTACTTAAACGTATGATGCATGAAGCTTCTTTGGTCAGGAATACTCCGGATTCTCAACACAAGATAGTCCTATATTCTGGACATGAAATGCATTTGGGTGGAATCTTGAGGATCTTGGATTTGTATTATCCACATGTGCCACCGTACGGCGCCTATTTTGCATTGGAAATGCATGAGATCGATAACCAATTTGGATTTAAAGTAAGTTTTTTTTCTCTTATATTTCACAATTTATTTATACTATAAGTATATAAAAATATACTATAATATTTGATTATTTTTATAGTATAAAATTAAAAACTAATTAAATAATACATTCAGTTGAAAATATAAAAATAATATGACTGCGAATTCTTCAAAAGTTTAGAAATCAAATACATATGAATTCAATTCAAATATTCTCAATTCTGTAAATTATAAGTTTACGTGAAAGTAAATAAAATATATTTATAATTACGTAATAAATAAATATAAAATATTTCATTTTATCTCATAAAATAGTTAAATTGAATTAATTGCATGTATTTAAGCTTAGCAGTTTTCACTTAATTTCCTTTTAATCTATAAAATTAGAAAATGATCAGAGTAAAACAATTTTTCATTAGTAAATAACCTTGAATGATAATTTTCTTCATTAAAAAACATAATTATATAAGATTTCAGAGACCTAACCTTCAGTTTTGTACTCTCAATAAAAGATGGCGCAGGTAGTAAGCTTTGAGCTTGAATTCAACCAAGATTTAAATCTAAAAACACGGAGTTCTGAACAAATGACAACAATTAAAAATTCGATCAATTAGCTTAAATAAAATCAGAAATTAGCAAATAATGTTAACACAAATATGAAAACTTTTCAGATCCATATCGGTTTTGTAAATAAACAGTTCTGGATTAAAAATAGATTAAGGACATCTATTTATTTATATATCTATCCCAATTTTATCAAAATGAGACTCATTTTTTTTTTTTTTTTTTTTTGTAGATTTACTATCATGATTATAGCGAGAAGAAAGCAAAGCTATTGAAGCATCCGGGCTGCGAGGAATTTTGCACTTACGACGAGTTCGTTAATCTGGTTCAAGATTTCTACTATGACCCCGAATACTGCGGAGCCTGAGTTAGCTAATGGAGCACAGATAACGCTGATAGGAAGAAGTCATTTCAACTTATTTAATAAAGAATTATATTATTAAAAATATAAAATTGATTTGTATATTCATTAGATGACAAATATTCAGGAATAATATTTGTTGCATGACTTACACTACAGTAGAAAACCATTTTTTTTTAAATATAGGGAAAGACCGTTTATTTAAAATATATATAATTCATGAAATGGAACCATTTCAATGCCACAAGTCTTTTTTGAAAAATATATCGTATTTTTCTTAGTTTTGGAACTATAATTTGTAAATATTAAAATAAACACGGTATACCTTACTTAAATTCTAAGTCAAAAAAAATGTCTTAATTGATGATATTTTTTTTTTCGAATGATTGGGTACAAAGTACAATTTTTGATGAGTTATGATGATTCCAATTGAGGCGTGCGTAACAAAAAGAAAGTTCTTATCACAGCGCTCAGTTATATGAATTATACGTCGGGAATAGTCTCCAGTTGGAGTGCACTATCCGCGCAGATAATGGACATGAAGCTGGTGTTGATACTGCTGTGCTGCTCTGTGGTTTGGTGTTCGAAGCTCGAGTTGGTTCAAGTGGTAAGTGCGATTGCAAATTCTGTTTGTGGATGGTAATTATTTGCCTCCAGTTTTTCAGGCACGGCAGTAGAACTCCGGAGAAGAAAGATGTGTATCCGACGGATCCGTACACCCTTGATGATTTTATGCCGATGGGTTGGGGACAGCTGACAAATGTAACGTTCTCTTCCTCCTGTTTTTATATTTCGGGACTGCAGTAAGTTTGTTTTGTTATCATCAGACTGGGAAGCAGCGAGCGTATCAATTGGGGAAACTGTTGAGGAAGCGATACGACTCGTTCTTGGGGGACATTTACACGCCGGATATAGCAGTGACGACTTCCACCGACTACGACAGGACAAAAATGTCTGCTCTCTTGGTATTGGCAGGGCTATTTCCTCCAGCACCATCGCAGAGATGGAACGAGGAGCTCAACTGGAACCCAATTCCTTATCACATGGATAAAACTGATTACGATTATGTAAATTGCTTTTGAGGGAATTGACCGCATGTATGTTACAATACGTTTCGGTGTTTCAGTTCATAAGACGACCGACTGGTTATTGTCCCCAGTACGTCACCGAGCTAGATAAGGTCCTTGGCTCCGAGGTTGTCAAGAAGATGCTCGATGGTCATCGGAAGACGTTAGATTACATGGCCAAGCACACCGGGAAACCGATGGACACTTTAATGGACGCGTTCCGCCTCTACCAAACGCTCAACGCCGAAGCCAACTTGAATATGACTCTACCGAAATGGACGGAGTCAATATACCCGCAACCCTTGGAGCTAATGGCTGCTCAGCAGTGCTTCTGGGAGAATTACTCAGACACTCTGAAGCGATTAAATGGAGGTACATACGTTCTCTCCAAAGTTAAGTATATCTCCGATGTTTACTAACTTAATAAACTCGCAGGTCGGATATTAGGGAAAGTCATTGAGAACATGATGGCTAAGGCGGGAAATCTCACCCCTGGGAGGAAAATCTATCTCTACTCAGGCCACGAGAACAACGTGATTAATATACTGGCCAGTCTGAAGCTCTTCGATGCGCACGTGCCCAAATACAGTGCCGCCGTCATCTTGGAGCTGCACCGTTTGCAGAGCGACGAACACGCCGTTAAAGTAAGGATTCCGAACCTCGGGAATCTGGCATTCTCAAGTAATTGATCTGCATTTGCATAATGTTTAGGTATTCTACGCGAGGGATGTCTTCGATGAGCCCACTGCCATGCCGCTTGGAACTTGCGAAGATAACCTCTGTCCCTTCGATAAGTTCCTCGATTACACAAGGCCATATGTGCCTGTTAACTACACCGCCGAGTGCCGGTCCGGTATAAATTTGGGCTAAATTAATATTAACTACCTCGACAATATTCCTCTCCACACGGACTTTATGTTAATACCTCCAACACGAACACACTTATTTATTACGGCCATAGTATTCCAATTTGGCACAATTGCAACTATTGTCCTCTTATTTCCACGTCGCATAGTATTAACTCGCATCGCCTAATCTCATTTTATTCCTTCCGTTCCCATTACCCAATCCCAGCGCATTCCGCTTCTCAGCGATTAAATAAAACATGCATACAATTTTTATTGTATTTAAACTATTTGACTTTTAAATGAACTCATAGTCATTGTTTATAATTCCATATTCATATAAACACAAACTAAAATGGTGTAAATAATACACATATTTTTAATTATTTTCGTTACAACTTTCTGTCAGAAATAAGATCCTGTCAACTGTCATCCTTTGTATGTTTCTCATTAAATAAGAGATTTGTCGTCATATCATACAATGTATGTTATACATATTTAAAATAACCCAAGAGCTCAATCAACAAGAAGATGCAGACATAATTCTGGTAAAATCATATGAAATCTAAATTTACATAATTTTTGAGTAAATAATTTCTATGTCTCGAATAAATCATTATTAAAATTACGTGATGAAAATATGTGTGAAATTGTACTTTGTATCATTTATATAACTACTATTATATCAGTTTCAGCATCATCCATCATCAAGAAATTGTAGTTGACATATATATGATCCCACGTCTAATACAGAAACAGCACACGCAAAGTATTATTAAAATTGCATACGCATATATAGGGTTTCCCCTATTATTACAAAAGTTTAATGACGCATTTTCATTCACAAAAATTAACAATTTACTTTTTCTCAGTCAAATATGTAAAAATCGAAAGACCCAATTAAATTGGTTAAAAAGGTAAAGTGTGATTTGAAATTATTATGTTTCTAATTATAATTATTAAAAATGACAACAACAAATATAAAAATGTAATATAAATATATAACAAGTATAATCAAAGCAAAATGATGATTAAATTGATAATTTTGGTAAACATTCTTGTATATTTATATATATAATATTATTATTATTGACAAGAAATACTTTCACTTATTATTGTTCATTCTGGACAAATAAATAGTATAAATAAAAATTGCAAAATAAGTTTTTTTTTTAAATTTTATCTACGATTAAAATAAGAACAATATTAATTGCATTGTATAATTAAATACAAATTATACAATTTAAAAAAAACAACTTTTATTGTAACAGTTACGAAAATTAAACAAAAATGAGTTCGTATTCAAAATTTCAATTATAAAAAAAATAAAATATTGCAAATGACTTAACTTCGACGTAATTTGTCTATGTCCATTAACAAATACCTAAGCAACTAAAACTGCATATGATGCGAATTCCCAGAGGTTAATGCAACATGCAGATAAGAATGTAACATGTTATCGCTGATAGAGTTTTATTAGTCGTAAAAGAGCGAAATGTGCTACATTATCGTCATGTTCGTGGGTTTTCGTAGTTAGATTAAATCTGCTTGCCAATAAAAGATTATTTGCTTCAATGGGGATTACATTTCGATAATCTGCATGTGCGTACTTATTTTTATGTAAAAAAATATATGTAATCAATAGACGCACAACATGTGATCCATAAATATTATGATTGTTCGATCTAAAATAAGCAAATAATTTGAAAATTGCAAAGTCATCTTCATTTATCTTTTTAAAAATATCGTACATTTAAGTGTTAAAATTGACCAGAAACGCTGTTATCAATAGTATTTTTTTATGTAAACAATACATTTACAATTACTACTATTTATTATATAAATACGTAATATACTGATTGAAATTAGTTACTTATATACAATTACCTAATTTATTACGTAACATATTAAGAATACCTCGGTCTGTGTAATGAATTGCGTCAAGTAATCGAATAGAAATAAAACACATAAAATGAAATTTAATTGTATAAAAAAATGTTTTCTACATACGTTTCATTTTCTAATTTTGTAGAATTTATTTTTGTTTTGTTGAATTAAAATTTCGATTGTTTTGAAATATCCTATATTATAATTGGAAGTTATTTGTAATTTTTCAGGAATTCGGGATTGTTTTTCTACTCAAAATTAAATATTCTTTAAGAAGTTAGCTTAAGATTCCAAATAAGTTTTAAATAATAAAAAAGATAATATAAGAAATATATAAACGTTTAAAACTCAAAATATACATTTTTAGATAATAAAGTTTAGACCAGAGATGGGCAAATTGTGGCGCGCGAGCCGCTTACCTAGAAATTTGATCCGGCAGGTACAATATTTAAAATAATGGTTTAAAAAAATTCATTTATTCTTTTGTTATTTTGGCCTATTACCAAAAATATTTACTCATCAATCAAGACAAGCGTTTTTCAACCATTTTACATCTGCAGAATAAAAATATAAATACAAATCAATACAGATAAATTCATAATTGAATGTGCAAAATATCAATTCAAATTGTTACGGACCAGTAAGAAATTTTTGCAGACCTGCACCGATTGTATTGGTTTATTCAATAGGATTGATTTTAGATTATATACAAAACTTTTAAAACTAACATGTATTGTCAATGATTTTATTTCACTTTATATGCTTTAATTATAGATATTTTAATACACATTTATTCAGTATCAATAGTTTGCAATATATTATATATATATTGTCATGTGAATCTGCTGCTATCCTTAACACTGTTATTGTCCATCGACTTGACTGAAGGTCCATATGCTGAACCTCATTCATTTCACTGTCCATCTGTAACAAACAATGGCCCTATTACTGCAAGCACCGAGAGGGCTCACAAAGGGCCTGGCTTGACCAGGATTTGAACCTGTGACCACTGACACGTTGGTAGGGCGTGATGTAAAATTGTTTTAATTATTTATTTCTGACTATTACAATAAATTAATTATATTTCACTAAAGGTATGACCGTTTTGTATCTAATAAGTTAAGTCGCGAGCTTTATGTTCGTGCATGGGTCGGCAACCTTTTTGGAACAAAGAGACATTTTTAAAATATAAGATCAGGGAACCACATTTAGCACTGCGATTTGCTAGTATACTTAACGTGACCATTTATTCTTTTCCTCAAAACGGGACATCTATGAATAAATAAAACTGTATATTTTCATAGTTTCTATTTACTAATAAAAAATACAAAAAAAAACACTTAAAACTACATACTTTATTTGTTCTTATATTTTTCTGAATTCTTGGCACGATTTCTGAAAATTAACTTTCGTAAGTAACATTGCTTTAGAACTTGGACATTCAGTTATGTTTGTTCGCTTGTCCATAACTTTCTATGGGTGCATTAGTGTTTCAATAAATCCTTTTTCAAAAACTTCATGCGTTAAACTTTGAATTTCCTATGTTTTTAATTTTTCAAAGAACATTGAATATTTAGATATATAGATAACAACTGCTATTTTAAGCTCCAAACATTGAATATTTAGATATATAGATAACAACTGCTATTTTAAGCTCCAAAGCCTCAAGTTATTAATGTATACAGAAGATGTGCACGCGCGACTTCGTTTATCGGACGTTGCTCAATAAAATCATTCAAAATAATTATACAAAATATTCAATTAAATTAGGAAATAATTGGTCGAAAAGCAAACGCAATCTAATCAGAAGTATTTGCAAAATATAACACTTATAAAAGTAAACAATCAAAACTTTTTTTTCTCTTCTATAATTTATCAGTATAAATGGATTTTACCGAAAATATCCTGTTCATAGTCCATGCATGCATAATTTTATTGTATGCATTTTTTGCGCATTACCTTTTACATTTTTCATACTACCAGGTCATACTGTAAATAACAATTCAATCGAAATAATTACCATCCACCCACATAAATGCGAACAATGGCAATTTTCCACGGAAACATTCAGGACATGATCGTGCGGCCACCAAAGTTAACCCGACAAAAAAATAACGCTGCAGAGGACATAAAATGTTTCAAACCACCCCACGCATGTTGCCCATAAATTTAACGAACTGTGCGCATTGTATTTAGTTGTTCCACATTCATTTTTTTTATTCCTCATCCTCTCAACCCATCCGAATCCCAGTGACGGCTTGTTCAACAGTTAAATCCACATCAGCTACATTTAAAAAGTGAAATAAAAATGTTCCAGCAGAATATTCAATTCCCATTCGTATTTACTGCATTTTGCCGGATGAATCGTTCCATTTTTTTTTATATATATTATATCTCACTATCTTCGTGGGATCAAGGAAATCTGGACATATTTCGAATGGGAAATGGGCCGTGGAATTCTGATGAAATTTCGGAATCCGGATGGATACAGGGAAGCCCGTTTTTACGACCGCATTTACCCTCGGAATCTACTGTTGAGGAGAGCAGAAAAAAAAGGATTTTTTTTTATTCCGGCAACCCCAATGAATTTTGAGCGGTGCAAATCTTTTGAAACTATAAATTGTGCATATTATTCTCGAAAGAAAAAGGTAACATTTGCAATTGGAATCCATTTGCGTTTTATCTAAACGAGGGCGGAAATAATTACAGTCCACTAGCCTCGAGGATGTTTTCCCTTTTTCTTTATTGGGTGCTTCTCCTTTAACCACTTTTTGTTCTTTCCTTCCAAAAGCCAACACATCCAGTTTTAGCTTCGCTCTTACGAAGCGAGATGCGAACAGTTATAGAAAGAGGTGGAAGAAACTTTCATTCGTCCCAGTTTACTTTTACAACCTCGAGTGTTAATTTTGCCCAACTCGGGAAACTTCTTGCAAACTCCGTCTGTGGCATGAAAACATATTTTTTTAAACGAATAACCGGGTAATCGTATCCTCGTTTTCCTTGAGTTTCAAGTTTCGGATTCAATCACGTAGTTTATTGGAAGGAGGACGGTTTCAATTCCTTCCTGGCTTCGTTTCTATTTAAGTTAAAGTCTCGCTGCAGGACAATAAAGGTGGGCCTCGGAGAGTTGCTCTCAATAGCTTCTGGTGTTAATACGGGCTTGCAGTGCGAGCAAATGTTGGCTATATCAGAACATTGTAAGCGCAATAATACCGTACACTTGGGGATTCCACCCCGTGCTTGGGCTCTACTCGTAACTTAAGAACGCCCTCCTGTGCTCTTTAAAACGATCCAAAGGCTGGTAAATAATTCACACAACATACGACTCTATTCAATTACTTAATATATATACAATGTTTATTTGAACTGTGTTTTAACTTCTTTTGTTTAAAATATTATCACATACAATTCTAAGAAATAAAATAATTGACATTACAATATAACATTTTTTTAATAAAATCATAATGGTATAGATTAAAGGTTGACAACACGTGGCTCCAGGACCCCATGCGGCTTTTTTTGTAAAGACACAACAGTGATTATTTTGAAAAATTCATTTCATTAGAAAAAAATAGCAAATTTAATACTGTGCTTTTTTCTCTATTGGAACTATAGTCCCAAATATACGATAAATAGTTTTTAACACCAGATATCGAAAATATTGATTTAACTATTATATAATTGATTACATCAACACATCAACAAAGATTTTTTTAATTTTGCAACCTTATTATATTTGATATAAAACATATGGCTTTTTATGGAATAAAATATAAAGTATAGAGAGAAGGCAATAAAATACATTTTTGAATACGTTTTACAAAAGATCTTCTTTTATTTATTTATATAAAATACATCAATTCTTCATTTAATACGGGTAATCACGTTCAACTGATATCACGTAAATGTATAAACAATAATATTGTATACTAATTTTTAGAAATTAGTTTTATTTTGATCAGTTAAAAATTAGTTTGTATTGAAATTTTCATACCAAACTATAGTGAATCAGGACTGATCGAAGCTAGACTTTACAAGGAATTGGTCTATATTATTTTCTAAAATCAATAATGTCATGTTTATATGTGTACTATATTTTTGTATTATTTTTTTAAAATCCTTTATTACTTATTAACAACCTGCCAACCTTTTTGGTGTTAAATAATGTGAAAGATTTTGATTAATTATTAATTGTTTACTTCGCACTAAATATAATACTTCATGTTATCTACATTTTTGTCATATAATTTTATCAAATTCCACAGTAATTGCTCCTAATGACGCAGCGCTAGTTTTATCTCAGTATAATACAAATATGGATTAACAAAACTTTAAAACATATTTAAGCTATTTAATACGTTGACATTGAATAAAATTTATTAAGAAAAACTAACAAACAAATTTATATCAACACATTAATTTTAAATAAAAAAAGAAGTGACTTGTGAAATAGTGCTCAAATACACTAACGAAAATGAAGGAAAAGAAAAGTTAAAAAAGAAAAATGAAAGAAAAATATATTGCTTTATTTCATTGTTTTTTTCTCTTTATACTGCCAATTCCCCTTTCGTATGGTTTATTTTGATGTTTGTACATATGTTTTAGGTAATATCTCAATTTGTCCGGTATCAAATAATTCCAATTATGGTCGGAACTATGCGAGGTATTGCTGTATATGGCAAGAAAAATAAATTAAAAAAGTTCATGATAAAAAATGAAATAAACACACGTGGACAAAACTTAAATATTTGAGACTTATGTTCAGTTTATATATCAAAATGTTAGAACTATAGCTAAATAATAAGCAAATTCTTTACAAAGTGATTCTGTAAGCAATGTGGTCAGATGTAACATTGTTAGGGGGTTTCAGCAAGAAAGTTCAACATCGAAATAATTCAGGGAATTTATTTGAAAACGCTGCAAACAGTCGCTAATTCACAATGCTATACACACAGCGACTTGCAAATGAAGATAGCTCGGAGTTAAATTGTATGTTGTTCATTTGAAGTTTGCTGAAAATTACCAAGAGAGAAACTTTTCTAAAAATCAATAACTTTCCATCTGAATATACAACATTTTATTATAAAATAAATTTTAATAATACTAAATATCTTTATAATTAAATACAATACAAATTTGCCCTATTTATAAATTATTATTAATAAATTAACTAGGTTCATGAGTAAATGGTGAAAATGCTGAAACTTGTAAATAAATTACCGTGAAAATCGAAGGATGAGTGTATATGCATGTTTATGGTTCTTGTAATAAATTTTGTTATTATTCTTTTATTTCTTTTCAAAGATTCAAAATTTATTTTATATTTGTAGATAAAATATAAAAAAAATACATAAAAATCAGTGAATCGATACTTTTGTGACTGTTAAAACGAACACATTTCTTGTTTATTATGCAGACAGGCAGTTTCCAACCAGTACTGGATCAGAGAAAAAAACACAAGTTTGTTTTGAGTATACAAGAGAATAATTTACATATAATATTCATAACCGTTTATCAATATTCATTTCTAGCCCTTTCTTTGCCCTCTTTCCGGCATCAAAGTGCTTGCAAACACGAGTGTGGAATTTTAATATACACTTTTTTTCTGCAACGCAGACATTCAGGAATAATTGATCCACGAAAGATCCTCGTTACATACAAACTTTGTATTCAGTAGTTAATAAAAATGAAGTGTTGTTGGGAAATTACTTTTTGATCATTTACATTTGGTGTATTTGATATGAATATAAATATAAACATAAACAATATGTTTTTACTTATAATTTTAATTATAATCTTTATGATACTGGTTTATTTCGGGGTTATTTTATCTTTAATAAAAACGTATATATGTATATGTATATGTAAATATAGGAAATTCATGTGCTAATATTTTGGTAAATAATATGTATGGTATTACTTTGTATAGTCATTGCTCAGTTAACGTACATAATGGAAAAAATCGAATCTCAAATTTTAATACAAAGAGATATTTTTTGGTATAGTTTTGTATTTTGATTCGCACTAACGTACTTGAGATTCTCGTATTTTAATTTAATTTCAGTCAAACAATGATGTTATATATTTTTACCTAAATTAGTATTTTATTCAGATTTCAATAGAAACATAAACAATTACCAAACAAATTGTCGCAGGTAAATTTTAATCTCAATGGATTTGTTCATGTTTTTTTTGTGTAAAATTGTATATTTTTTTTTGTTCTAACTGACGTGTTGTCATTCTCATTATTGTACTCAAAGTATATATGAATATACACATCACCATTGCTAAGAATTATTGTATTAAGCATTCAAACTTTTGTAATTTTATTTCAGTCAAACAAAAATATCATTTATTCATTACATAAAACCTTACCTTAGCAAAATGAATTGTAAGAAAAATAACTCGCGATGTTTTGCATAACGAGTGACGATTAGAAGCGCGCGCTTATTCCATCATTTTTAAAACTGTGTACACATATTATGTGTATTTTTGAATATGTTTCATTATACGAGCATTTCATTAAAAAATAAAAATCCGTATTTTTTTAAAGGATTAAACTCCTTACGCGAGGTTCCACTGTACTTAAATCAGATTTAAAAAAAAAAGTATGGAAAATCACCACACCAAGGTACACAGATTCATACAACAGTACATTTTTCGTTTGGATCATATGCTAAGAATTCTGGTATTCCGCATTTATCTGGACTATACATTTTACTAGTTTATGGTCAGATAATTATATTATACAGATTTTTCTAAAAAGTGTTATTAATATTTGTAATGTATCTATTAATTCATTCTTGGAAGAAGCACTGCATTAAATTGCCCTTTTGCATTTAGACGAACGTACTTAAAGTCCATACTTTAGTATAAATTAATTCATTTATATTTGTCGTACAAGCATATATTTTTGAACAGCAGAGGTATCTTTATCAACATTTCAATTGGACGTTAATGAAAAAAAAAACAGATTTAAATAAAATAATGATAATGAATTATTACTTACCTTTTTAATCATCTACAAATAAATGGGAGAAAATTTGCAAAAAGAAAGTCAAAGTATTTTGAAACCATTTTTTGTTTGTTTATTTTACGAAGCAGGATTATAAAACCAAGCAACAACGTATAACAATCCTTAAAACTAATAAATACAACGTCATTATTTAATATATATAATATATATATATATAACTGTTAGTTTTTTTGTGTGATCGATCTTTAATAAAGTTTCTGTCTTTGCGCCAATTCATTTCAATTACATTGATAATAATTATTCATACATTATATTTAATTAATTTATTATTCTCTCCATTTACATCCTCGGAATACCGTAATTAACCACAAACATATGACTACAGTCTAAACAATCATCAAGTAAAACCTATTTACAAATAGTGTTCCCTTTAAGTTCTCATTATATATATTTTTTCTTTTATTATAGGCAGTCTATTAATTAATAACTAAAATCTTAAAAGTATCGAAAACGAAAATGATTCCTATTTACTAATTAATCCATGTAAAAATTTATTTTATTTTTTCCAAAAAAAAAAACAAAAGAATACCAATGTCTTTGACGGAATCTACTTTCCGTCCACGAAAAAATATGTACTAACACCTCAAATCGCCCTTCGATTTATTTATTACATTTTATTTATTATTCAATTAATGGCACTACAGTATTACGTTCTCATCTCAAAACAAATCACAAATAATTGCTCTATCAGCGTATAATAAATATGTTCTTTTTTATTTCAATTTTTTTAATATTTTTTTCTTTTATTTTAGTTTCTCTTCTTTTTTTTATATATTATATAAGTATTCGATGATCTTTCGTGATGTTTAAGATGTCGGGTATTTAAAATATATAAATTTCAATGGATCATCAAATACTTTCTATGATTTATTTATTTTTATTTTCTTTTATTTAAGGACGATTATTTTTTTGTTTTTATTTATTTTTTTGGGCAATTCTTCAGGCAAAGATATGATCTGCTCCCGATTTCATTTCACTTTCGCTCGTTTTCTTTGGGGTTTACAAAAATATTCTCATTATTTTGTTCTTGTTTTTGAATTTAAACAATTTTGAGCAAATCGTGTGCAAATGAATATTATATTATTATTTTATATTATTGTATATTTTATTGGGCTCCCGATACTTTCTTTTGGAATCTTCCTCTCCACTCATCCGCTACAAACATCATCCACTTGATATCATCATCATACATTATTTACATTAACAAGGTACGGTTTTCTTTCCATTATTAATTGTATAGTCGTGATCTTTGTGGATTAAATTATAGATGGAAGGTAGTGTTACTGGGGTGGTGGACAACGGACTACCGTGGATGTTGCGAATTCTGAGAACTTCTTGTCGATTGGAATGCGATCGTCGTACAGCGTCGGAGCTTGTAGGATGATTCCTGCGGTACCTACAAGGACTGCCAACGTGAAGATCCATAGGAACAGACGATCCAGTACCATTGCAACGTACTTCCAATCTTCTTTTACCTGAAACATGATACATACCAATGAATTTACACAAAGTTACCATCTCAGTAAGATGAGTTTTAATGCATTAACTTGATTAATACCTGACTTGTAAATAAGTAGTTTGTATAAACCTTTATGTGAATAAAATATGCGATGATCAAAAATAGGTTAAACCTTACAAAATGCACCTCATATTTTTTGGATAGGTACATACTTTTGACTCATATTTGTCCGACCTGTAGTATTTGACAATCACTTGAACGTACTCAAAGTCTATTCAAATGTACAATTTTTATAATAGATTTGACAATTTGTGATAATGGAAAGTGGATTAACATTGAAAATGTGCAATTATATAAATCAAATGCATAACTATTATTTTTGCTCGAATATAGTCACAGTTCACATCAACATATAAAATAGATTCAATTTGAAAAGAAATCCGTTATATTTTTTGGAAATGAACATACTTTAGACACAAATAAAAAATAATAACTAATATATGTTCCCAGTAATATATTGAACATATATAAAAACGTACTTAAAGTTCATATCAAAATACGTTAATCGAAAATGTAGTAAAATTGAAATGAAATCTTAAAATTGTCAAAGAAAAGCATACTTTTCACTTAAATGAAAACAAGAAGTAAGTTGCTTGATTTTCCAAGTGATTTATCTAGTAAATTACGTATTTAATTATCAACTGACTTCCATACGCTTAGTGAATGAAATCCATAAATGTATATGTTCGCACTAACGTACTCAAAGTTGATACAAACTTACGAACTGTAGAACTGATTATGGAACTTGCGGTAATTGAAAGTGAATTAAAATAAAATTTGAAATGTTTTTAAAAACGAAAACATTTTTGATTCGAATAAATCATTCATGATCCAAACTTTATAATTAATATGTACCCATATGAATTAAATTCATAATTGTTCTAACGTACTTGACATTCACACGAATGTACAAAAAGTATAAATTTATAATCGAATTGTTAAGTATGTTATTTATTTTTATTCCTACTAACATACATAACATTCACATGAACATACTCAAAATATATAAGAATGTAAAAATATATAACGTACATACTTTTAACTCAAATAAATAAATTTCATACCTTATTATAAATTGACTTATATTCGGCTAGTGTGTAGACACCATTATATGAATGATATGAATAACGCATTATTCAAGATGCGGTAATCGAAAATGGATTAAACGTCAAGAGGAATCCGTAATATTACTTTTTTTAGGAACATTCATACATTTGGATCGAATAAAAGCAATAAGTAAGTTTCTTTAGAGAAGCCCCGTACAGCAGCTGTGCTTTCGCCATGTATTCTTTCACTCAATATGAATTATTCGTGTGCCCCAGAAAGTCACGTAAAATCAAGCTACAAATTGTATATATGAAAAATGATTGAATCTATATTACCTCCAATTTTATTCATACGAAATTTTACACCTCAAATAAGAAATAAGTAAGTACATAAAATAATTTAAATAACTTATTAATTATAAATAATATAATTAATTCCTTTGTTCGTTTGTTTAATGTAATTGTAAATGTAATATGCATATCTGTTATAATTCTGATGGTTAAAACGGCGCCAAATTCAAATTTATTTATTTATTTATTATATTAAATATATATTAGGAAATAAATAAATTGTTATAATGATATATACACATTTCTTATACATTAGTCAGTAAATAAACAAACTTTAAATATGCATTTGCAAAGTTTCTTTTAAGTTCTAAAAATATTGAAAAAAATAAATTTGTAGTGAAAAAGAAATATTCTGAGATATTTTTCATTATTCAAAACTCACTCGAAATATCACTTCAGTGCAGCACAAATCTTTGAGAAATTTGTAACATTTTACTATATATTATTAAAAAATATATACAGTGGAACCTCGCTTAACGAGCAAAATTAATTGTAAGAAAAATGATTCGCTTAATAAGCGACGTTTCGCACAACTTAAACTGGTTAAGCGAGGTTCCACTGTAATTGTATAAAATATTATAGCAAATATTTTCTGAAACAATAGATTATTTTATAGAAAATATCAAATTATCTTCATCATAATATTTGAAAGGAAACTGGAATCAATACTCCTCTAATTATATTTTTTTATGTATAGAAGATAAGTAAATAAATGTATTATAACAATGTTCGTAAACACAATGAGATGTCTGAATGGGAATATTTTTAATAAAATAAAACTGAAAACTTTTACACGTTACGAAACTTAATCTCTGTAAAGAATTAATGATCAAACTTAAATCTTATTTTCTCGTTATAACATAAGTTGATTTGAGTGATGGTGGGTGGTGTACCGTGTGTACGCCGCAATGTACATAAATCACTTATGCACATTCAGGATCGATGCGAAATTCATTTCGAAGTTTGCCGTTTGTCAACTTCGATACTAAATATATATACAAACATATATATAGCTATACCTAATTTATTCAAACTCGATTTTAGTTCGCTTGGTTTAATTAAAACCGGCGTGAATATATTTAAATCTTTTACAGGCAAAGTCTTTCGCAACGCGAAACACGCAATTAAACGTGCTTTATTGCTGCAATAACCGTGACGTGCAGTTCAGTTTGGATAACTTGACTTTGCTCATATGCATTTGGAGAGCATTAATGAACCCTTGTATTCATGGTTTCTACATAAAACCAGGCGTGTATAAACAAATAATTTAATTTACTAATATACAGCAATTAATTAGGTCATATGTATTTTCAAATATATAATAAACTGAACATTTTTTTCTAATTAAATCATAACTAATAAACAAATATTAGAAAAATTCTTGTTGGCACAAACTGCAAATAAATTTAATACTTCATATATCATAACTGGCAATTAATGAACTATATAGTATTCATAACTAGTCCTTATGAACAGATTATGTAATTTCATTTGTATAATATAAGTATTTAGATCCTTGCTATACGTCCTTAATTCATTCCAGATTCGTAAACTTATACCAAACAGGACTTATACTAAACGAATGGTTCTCATAAGAAATAAAGGGAAAATGATTAATCTGTTCCAATACAAAAAATCCTATTGTTGCTGAACCTCATTCATTGCATACGCTGAACCTCATTCATTGCATACGCTGAACCTCATTCATTTCACTGTCCATATGTGATGAACAATGGCTCTATTGGGTAAGACGATTTAACCATTCGGATATTAGTCGCCCTGAATGACAATTTAACAACCTTTTCCCTAATTAAGCCTGGTTTTACGTTTACTAAAAATATATCTAAAGAACTTTCCTTCTATATTCTTCTCAAGATATTTCGTGATATATATATATATATATATATATATATCACGATGGATTTGTTCCGAAACGAAAGTATACCGAGGTACCACTGTACTACTGTAGATTTAATTTTTCATCTATCAATTTTTAACTATTATTATTTAGTTCTGAGATTATTTTATTACTACCTTATATTGTAGTCTAAAAACTTACGTTACTTAAGTTACCATAATTGTCCATAATACAACTAAACACTCCAAGACCTAAAATTTACTTTTTTAAATGTACTGTGTCTAAAGTCTAAAAACTAGTTCTTGTGATAAAATAAATTAAATACATTTTGTATAACATTAGTATTCAAAATAATTCCCAAAAATTTACTTTTTCATGTCTACAACGTATATAGAATATTATAACAAGTTCTTATAATTAGGAAAAGTATCATAATTTTCCATAAAGAAACTAAACAGACTAAGGTTTTAAATGTCCTTTTTTAACATGACAACTGATAACGATTCACATAAAGTGACTTTATTTTATATAACTTGAGTATTTAAATCATGATCTAAAATTTACTTTCTTGGAGTGTCTAAATAGTGAAGAAACTC